CCATAATATCTCAACCAACTAACTAACTGCTGTACTGACCTCTCTCCACAATCTCACAGTTAAGGTCTCCTTGCATTAAATCTCCACCTGTCAAAAATTCCATAATGATTTTTTCCTCCCCATTAAATTAATTGAATCCTGATCATCACCAATATCATAACATTTATAAAATTATCGTTATACTCGAATCACCTAAAAAATTAGCTGGTCATGCATGCATGCACCTCCTCGACTCATTTCTTATTCTTCTTTTAGCAATAAAAACCAATCTATTTGATTGCACTTGCATGCAAGTGTCATTAATAAAGCGTGTGTGTTCCTGTTCATCAGGCGAATTTTACGTAGGTATCGTCATCATCATGCATAATTTTAATAATAAACCGTTAAACAGTTAGTTGGTCAATTTTTTTAGTTATTGAGATGATCATGCAACTTTGTAACCTTTACACGAATCTAATCCAGTAACATAACATTGAAGATTATGATGTCGATTTGATGATATCAAAGTCAAAAATTAAGAAGATTCATGTACCTGACCATCTCTATATGTAACGCGACAATAATAAGCAATTAAACTAGATATACAGATATGAACCCTGAGAATGTATACATGACCAGATTAAAAAATTATTGACATTTCCTAATTTCGCGTGTAAAAAATTATAATATAATAAAATAATAATTGGTCTAATTTTTTGTATCATAATTGCCTCGTCATCATGAGATCATCTCATTTTATTATGTTTGGATGGAGTTTGTGGCCTTTAATTCATTTTGTAAAGTATAATGTATTCACTAGATTGCTAAATAGATGGATGATAGTCAAAGGCGCATTTACAATTTTCGCAAATTTTAAACTCAGATAAAATTACAAGGATCCAGTTTTTTATTGTACCTGCGTGGAATTTTTTGTTATTCTGTCACCCGATTCCCCAAATCTACAAACACGTAGTAAAGTTTTGAGTCAATAAAATTACGCATTTCTAGATCGTCATTGCAATAAAATAACAAGTGCATAAAAATAGGTTGTTTCACATCCCAAAATTAATTGTAAGATGAGACACGGGTTGACAACAAGGTTCATTTCATCGCATAAACTTGATTCTTGATGACGAAAATGGACGGTAACAAGCAGTTGATTTACGTTTAATCTTGTCGTGTGACGTGGTCTTACTCGCTGTTTCCTTTTGTCAGGATTTAAAAAAACGTGTGATGCGCAACTTAACAATTTATAATCATATCGGATTAAAGTTCTTTCTCCCCACTCAAAAATTCTGTCAGTGTTTTATGATCCAATTTTGACAAAATTTTGACAAAATGCGTCATTATGATCTACGCATTGAGATATAATTTCTTGGAAAACTTTACACCTTCTAAATTAGTTTGTTAAGACAAACTGTAACTTTAATCTCTTTTGACTCAATCTACCAAAATTTTGGTAGATTGGATCATTTGCTTTCTAATACCAGACGCCTAGAAGTCGGTCGAGATGAATAATTTAAGGATAATCTTATTGTTTTGTTGAAATCTTGGTTTAAGTATAATTCATTCAGCTAACTAACCATGAAAATACCTTAATTTCCAAGTAATATTTAAAAGTTTACAACCTGCGGAACGATGCGTCATTTTTTCCGTATCAAATTTCACACTTTGCACTTGAAGAATGAATAAAGTGACGAATTAAAATCATTCTGCGTCATTTCATTCTTAAATTTATCTTTATTTTCCCGTGTTGTCTCATTGTTTTGGTTGACAAGATTGCAACTGGGAAGAACACACCTCTCTTGTTGGATGTGACACAGGTCACGGTGCAAGAATGGATTTGCATAATCTGCAGAAATTGACGACAACATTGCCCGTAAAAAACAAAAGAAAACCAGATCTTTAATTAAATTAGGTATCAAATACGTTCTTGGAATGTTACTACCAAACTTGGAAATTTCCTAGATGTGACTCAAATCATAACAATTTGTAGAGCATTGTAAAACGTTGAACAACATATTATGTTCTTGTTAGTTTTCATGTACAACGCACCATCAATAAACTTGTTGATATTTGTAATGATTAAATCGGGTCTTGTCTCCAAATCAAGCTCATTCGTCAACGTCAACCACTTTTTTCAGAGGAATGACTCGGTTTGTACGAATAGGTGATTATGTAGTTCATATGTTTGATAAACAAATATGGGAAAAAGTATGCTAATAATTTGATTTTCAAAATTTCACCTGTATTTTAACTAGCAAATACGCAAACAGGAATGGCGAATGTTTGCAAACATTTCTAGTTTTAGACGAAAATAAACACATCATCAATCAGTACGGTTTTCATATTTTTTTTATTATAAATTGAATCTTTATACTTTATAGTATAAAGCATCGTGCGTAAATCCAGCCTTTCCGATATCGAATTCTGCAAACTGTGAATGGAAAATAATGGTCATAATACTTCATAAACTGGCGAAACATCAGTTTATTGTCACCTCAGTCTTGGCATCCTTTAATTTCACGCGCAAAGCAATCAACTTTTTTCCAACCATTTTCTTCTTCCACTCTTCCACATTTGGGGTTGCCGACATTTTGCAGTGGTCCGAAACTGAGGAGAAAGGCTGGGAATTACTTATTCAAGATTGAAATTTGGATTTATCAAGAAAATGTTCTGACCAAAATTCCAGAAATGAATCATCTCCTAAGACAACGACTAAAAAAATTTGCGAGTTCAATACGTACAACAAAATATTTTCTCATAATTTTCTACAAAATGTTAAACGATAACCAGGAAGAGAATTTATAAAAACCTGCCAAAATATCAAATTTCAATCCATTCCATACGTGCCCACCAATGTAGCTAATTAATCCCCGAAGTCATTTGACCCAAGCTGCACGATTTGCCACCATATTATTTATACGAGTTTTACTATAAACAAAGAGTTCAAAAACCACTCGGACCAGACATCATATGTCTATTTCATTCCCAAAGCTACATAGGTTCTTACCCTCCTAAATAACAATATGCCACAAAAAAACGAGTAGTATTTCTTCCATCCGAATCAAAAATACGATAATTATTCGCAAAATAACATCTCTTAGTCATTAAAATTGCAGAATTATTCTGCCAAAAACAAAGCATTCATGTACAAAAAAGCTGCCTCAAGTTGTTCACGATTTTAAAATTATACCCAAAAACATCGACTTCGACCAGATTTTTGTTAAACAATGCAATATATTTTTTCGAGAACAATAACTTTAGCATGAGAACAGCGACCCCAAACTCCACATGCATCTTCAAAAGATCGGATTACATTAATTGAGGATAATTTACTAGTTTGGTTCATTTAATTAATTAAGCGATAAATCCAGCTTATGGAAAGATTATGAAAAAAAACTTTATAATAACGAGTGCATAAAGTGGAGGTGGTAGTACAAAGAAAAGCTAAAAAGCTGCTCTTATGCGATATGAATATTGCAGGGATTCATACCAAATTTTGTAACAATATGCAATCTCATCTCCACATAAAGACGGACCTGACTGACTTGGCTTGTGGTCCAACTTGACTTCTTGGCATTATACTAACTGCAAATTACATTATTATGCAAATTATGAAAAGACATAGTTAGACTAAAACCGGTGATTCAGCTTGGTTGCAAAAATTGGCAAAATGTTGTAAATCCAAACCACGTATTTAAGTAATTTATTGTTCATCTTCCTACCTGGGTCTGGCCAGATTGTGGATGATATGAATGTATGCATGTATGCTGTCCATTCTTGATTTTGCTTATCAAGAATGGACATCATAGCTTATTCGCATAGATTCACGGTGTGTATTGTCATCTTAATTTTATTACATGTGCCGTAAACCATTTGACAACAATGGATAGACAAATGACTTTCAAAAGTCCAGTCCAGGCTGGCAGAGTCAAACGTTGGTAACTTTCCGTTAGTTACACGTTGTGATTTAGTTTAATAACTCAATTCTTCTTTAACAAGGTGACATTGTGACTGTTGGAAAAATGTGGATAAAAATAAAAACTTGAATTTCGGTAATTGTCAATTAGATATTTTCTTGATAAGTAATTGTCATCCTGGAGAAACCTTGAACCCAAAGAAATTAGCGACCTGTGATATTTTTACACTTTATGACATCCATCAATTCCTTCCCTCCAGTCCAGATTATTATTCACTCACACCTGTCACACTTGTGTAAGATCAGTTCCCAGATAAAAATAAATTAATCACTTTCCAGCAAATTCGGCGAATGTGAGAAGTCAACTTTTCGCAAATATATGATACCCTTGTAATTTTTGGCACTGTATTTTACACGGCCAGACTGCATGACGTCCCACAGGTGACCATCAGACCAGTACCACTTTTACCTTAATTTCTGCTTCTGACCTCCGCTCAACCAACCACCGAAACCGCATCATAATTATAAATTGACCAAAATTCCAACTCATTTATTATTATCAAAGAACTCCGAATTTTTCGGGCAGACCAGACCACCTCGAATTTATGGACATCATTACATCTGGAATTTGTGTTTCGTTCTTATCATGTCAAATAAGTCGTCGCCAATTTTTACTGGCGAGATTTAAGTTAGACTTGTAACTATTTTTTTGCTGCATGTAATGAACCCAAATTTATTGAAATTAGAAATTAGAGAAGCAACCAAGCCCACTTACATACATACAATTTGCGAATTAATTCGCGAAAGCATTTCGTAATTTGGTAATTGACCAAGAAGCCGAGTTGAATGAATAATCCGATAAAGTTGACATGACCTGTCACACTGGACTAGAATGTCTACCACCTGGTCAATTATTGTATTATCCTCCCCTTCGATGATGATCTGTCCATCAATTATTCTCCAAATGGCCAAAATCTGTGGAGATTTTACATAATAATTTTACATCAGAAATCACCCGACAGACAGCAACAAAATTCAGTAACATACATCAAAGTTGAGTCAGATCATCTGAAATCTTTCCATCCATTTATGAAACGAAATTGAAACTAGGAAAACCACATTTTTGTTGTTGAGATGACCATTTATTTAATAAAATTATTGACTCTACCAGACAGCATAGTCAAGAGAACAATGTACTTCAAGTAAGCAGCCTGAAGATCAAAACCCAGACAAGATCTCAGGTGGCAGTGGTTAAAGTACATACATAAAAGTAAAAGTGATCATTATACTTGTACAATTTCGTGGCGTTGTTGCCTTTAAACCACAGGTTCCACGGTGTCTACCCAATTCCGATTTTTATAATCCAATAATCCAGCCAAAAAAAGTGTGGCTTACCATTTCCGAAGGAATACCAACTGTTTAAAAAATGTACAATTGTCTCAAGCATTAATTTCTTGGAGTCATTCACATTTCGCATTTTGCGTTCATTAGTCACCACCAGCTCTTTGTGAGGTCTGAGAATCGTTGCCTCCCTCAGTAATTAATTAATATGCATGGAAAACTGATTTCTCTCGTGTTTTTAAATGAGTTATTTACTTGTTTGCAGTAATCGGGCTACCGATGATTACACACACCGAAGATTAAGAGGCTTTTATTATTAATTAGTTGTCGTTCCCAACAGACCTGACTATTAGACTACTGAGAATCTGTTATCAGACACGTTTGAAATGGATATGTCATGGAGGGAATTAAATGGATGGAGGAAAGAACCTGAATTTTTGATCCATTGATTAATTAGTCGTGTCATAGAGCACAAACAACAAGTTAGTTTCCATTCTTGACTAAATATTCTTTATCGTCAGTTTCATATAATAAATTGCTTTGCACTGCTTGCCTTATCTCAAGTTTTATTGACCTCCTGTACCAGCCAGACAAAATCCATCCATCCATAATTAATCCTGTTAATCTCTTAAAAGGTTCACTGGATTTGGTCGGAGAGAATGTGCAGGTGGCTAAAAATCTTGAAAAGTACACATTTATTCAAAATCAGGCGTCCCAAGTGGTATTTATACATGCGATCTTTTAGCTGAGAACAAAGTGATAATAGAATTTTTTGGTTTTAAGATTTAAGTAAGTATTTAAAATCAAGAAGAAAGAACTACACCGAAACTGGATTTCATTCTTTTCTTGTTCTTTCCTTTTCTTGGCAGGATTTATGTTCAGTTCACCTGCATGGATGACATGACAGGTGAAGCAGAAAACTCATTCTCCTTACAAAACTTGTGTAATGGCCAAAAACGAATCTGCGAATTGATGTAAAATGTAATGTGATGTAAATTTTAACGTGTTCTCGGTCAGTGTTGGCATGGGTCAGGTGTTCAAATGGTAAAATGTTGGCGTAAATTTACTTTCTTCGGGTTAATTTTTGCATTTTGGTTAAAAATCCTTTTGACTTGTTTCCATTTGCACATTTTTTAAAAAGATCTTGTGATAAGATTGGGTTCCAAAATTCCGAATATCTTTTTACAATTGTTGCATTAAACTTTTTCATTTTATTATTTAGTGGCATCATAGCATTACATCAGCTTTCGCATTATGACTCAGCCGACCTCTCATTTTCCAGAGAACGACTCAAATCAGTGCATGTGCTAACTTTTTCATCACGACTTTGGAACAAATAAATTGCGCAGTATTACAAATTATTGGAATCATGACATTGTAATAATTATCTTGTTTGATTTTATGATTATGACACAAGCACGCCTAAACTATAAGAGTTTTAGCAAGTTCGTCACCGATTTTAAGAAATAATAGTGTTGAGCAGTTAAGCTACAAACGGTAGATATTTTTATCGCTTGTTGCGACAATAGGTTGATGATTTAGAAATGTCTGGAAAATAATAGAAAGTAAATTTTAGTATTTTAAACCATGTTAAAATTACATAATTCTACATTTTACTCTGGAAAAGTCTAGTTTTAAATGAGTCGGAAAGCCATAAAAAAAACTCTTGTACAACAATTCCAACTATCATAATTTACTTGTGTCATGTTGATTTCCACATTTACAGGAAAACCGATGTACTCTGGGTAATTATAAAGTTATTGTTATACAAAGTTTTAGTCAGATAATTAAGTTAAACTGCGTCACAAATCATTTCTATTCACATTCACACCACTAAAATAATGAAATCATCCTGATTTCATAACAAAATAATTCGTGTGCAAAAATACTATTACAATTACAACTCTGTTTATTAATTATTCTACCAAGAAGAACCATATTTCTTTTATTGTGCTAGTATATACCTAAATATTAGATTGTTGTTCTAGTTGGATGGGTTGCATGCTGTGCTAATTGCTGGATTTTGTTTTACGTCCAACTAAAAATACCTAAACCAATTCGCAATAATTTGCTAAAAAAATCCAGTTCCAGTCTTATTATTATTCACATCTGACGCCATGCCATATATCGTAATTTGACAACCTACGTGATTTTTATTTTGCAGGTAACGACACAGTCGCCAAACAAAATGGGGAGAATACTGCATGTTGTTATAATTGCTCCCATTGTAAAAATTATCTCAGCCAGCCAGGTACATAAGTTTCCTGATATCAGACATCCATCCATCCAATCCACGTGAAAAATGCGTACCCAACCCACCCAAACAACAAGTGGATTCTATATAATTGCAATTTCAATAATGAACCAAGAACTTCCTCAAAACGTGTTATGCTGTGTTTTGCCATCCACTGACTGATGATGATTATGGGACAAAATTGGATGTAAATTACGTGATGAATTCGGTAATAAATGTTCTTCGTACAAAAAACGAGACGGAGTGAGACAAAGAAAACCAAGTGCTAATTTGTGTTTTGGGTTAAAAAATCCTGTAATTTAATGAGAATCGGAGGACCTGCTTAATAAATATGTAGTAATGGCAATAAGAATCTGAATCTGAGATTTATTTAGCCCAACCCTTCTCTTGCTTTATAATTGTCTGTAAGTACAAGTTCGACACCTCGGCTCCAACACGGCCTACGACGATCCATCCACCATCAAATCCAGTCCACCCACTTAACCATCTCTATAATCATAATGAAAGCAATAACAATATAATTATAAATGTAAATCGCCCATTAAATGGAACACAGTTAAGATAACCATTTCAGTTTGGGAAGATGGTCCAGGAGGGCAGAGAGCAAAACAATAATGTCTCGATTAATAAGCCTCGTGTCAAACGAGGAACAATAAAGGTGCCAATATTTTTTTTATGTATGCTTTTTTGCGTATTTACGTAAAAATTAGAAATGTAACATTTTATCAGTAATCAGCTCTGAATGAATTTTGATTAAAATTCAGACTAAAATTCGGACCAATTTATGTTATCCATACGAAACTCTTAAGTCATAAGTAATTGAATATTTTTCTACTTTTGCCAGGATTTTAAAATCAAACTTGCAATGTGACATCAAATATCTCTGTCGGATAATCAGCATCTTTTTTTACATCGATAATGTATATTGTCTCTTTATTTCCTTATTGACTCCATCCTTTGACAATTTTTGCCATTTTTCTCATAAAATGTTATTTGATAGGATATTAGGATATTATAATTACGACAGGAAAAAAATGTGTCGAACTGACTGAAGAATGTTGCATACTTTATTATCTTACTATCTCGCATGATTTGTGGTCAGACTCATTAAAATTATCTGAAATAAAGCGATTTATGCATATATTTAGATATTAACTTACTGATAAACTTACACATATGAATTAGGTATACCTATATCACCAAGTATTACTAATTGCCAAACCAATCCAACATCTTTTTGCTAAAATATTGGAAAAACAAGTCGTCAAAGTAAACGATAATGAGGATGATGATGTGTACGGATTAGTGAGAAAAGTAACAAAAATTCTGGGCATACACATTTGACGACCAAATAAACCAGATCAAGAAAACATTAATTTTAAGTACTTTTTCATAATTTTAGAGGAAAATCATGGGAATCTAATTGGCAAAACTGCATTCCATGCAATTTACTTGTTTCATGCATGAATGGAAAAAAATGCAACATTTTACACGACTTGTGCGCATTTTTGCTTTAATTTTTTTTAGTGTGACATGAGACACCATAAAATAAACTGATCTCCAATATAATTCTGTACACTGCTAATTGCATTGTTCTAGGCTAAAATTTCCTGCATTAAACATAACCCAAATTCTTTGTTTTATATTTGTGAAGTAAAAATCCTGGACGAACATAATTCATTAATCTTGAAAAGTTCTTAATTGCTTTGAGCACTCTAAAATTAGCCAAGCCCGTGGTGTACAAAAGCAAGATGACCTAACAAGCCTTGCATTATTACCTGTCCTTCCTTATTGACATGACACAAACACAGCAACAACACCACTTTTGCTGCTGCACTTACCCAGAATTTGTTAAAATTAGGTAAAAAAATCTTATATTTCTTCTCCATTGTTCACTTGTTAAAAAGAGTGACGAGTTTTGTAACAATGCATCGGCACGCTTCCCCTACAGGCTACACGACGATACCACAATAAGAATCCATAGCTTATCATGGATGACATGAATCACAAAGACAGAAACATCACCCACGTCATAAATAAATCTCATCATTTATTCACAAAGACAAAATTATCAACGTATAAATTTGTTATTTTTTGCTACAAAAATTCTACGCCAGCAACAAGTTGGTTTACTTGGGTTTAGGTTAAAATGCTGCAAAATTTACATACGCAACATATCATTATACTCGATAAGATAACGATATTGTACCGTGCTTACATAATTATGCAGCATATTAGCAGCGTGTGATTGCGTTGTGCAGAAGTTCTCGAGCATGCCAGGTAAAAGCTGTATGTGGTATTTATATATGAATTTTGGCACATAATTTTCTTGTCATTCGTGCCATCATCGTGTCATTCTGTCTCAGCAGTTTTCAGTAATTTGACGTAAAATACGGGAGCATACTTTATGTCTGGAGAAGAAGAAGAAGATGAAACCTATTAAATATTTCTTGACGAGAGTGACCATGAATTTGGGACTGGAAACTGGATTTTGAGAGATGCGCTATCACTCCCTGGCTGGTTTTCTTTCGTCTCTGAATGTTAAGGAAGGTCACTGCAAAATTCAAATTGGACAGGGCACTCTTTCTGATAGTAAATGTACAACTTTATGTACTTACATATCTGCAAAAGAACGATGCAAATAGTGGTTTTGGTTTGGTTTTGGTGTAACAAGAAATTGTGAAGATGAACAAGTCATTTCGCCTTAAAATTAGTTATTAGTCTTGAATTTTATGATTGTCAAGTTCAAGGAGAGGATCAAGTACTAATTGTTGGTGGATTTCTGCATGAAAACTCGACCTGGCGCAATAATAGAATAGACATAGACAGATAATGATCATGTTATAATAATCTTCATGTAATCATCATTATAATCTTGGAAATGAGAATACATATGGTCTCATTATTTGTTTTAAAATGTTTGCCAACTCTTGACTCAAAAATTAACATGTACTTCTGATTGATTAGCAGGCTGGATTTGGGTATCACTTTTCTGCAATCCAAGGACAAAGAAATTTATGCCAATTTGACATTTTTGTGTGACAATGTGCAATTCATTAAGAATCCTTTGTTTCGAGTGATTAGAGAATGATGCACACAATCTGAAATGATAATACTGGAATATTTAAATTGTGATAAAAACGAAGACGCGTTTGCAAACCAAATATATTAACAGGATCATATCATGGCAGCTTTTTATTCAGTATTTTTTGGGAGTATCCATACTGATTTTTTCTTTAGTCTACTACGACTCTAAGATCTGACCAGAATTTACACAGATTTACATCATCATAACAATTTACGTACAGATGTTTCATACTAATTAAGTTAAAGTAATTAATAATTAACAGTTTGATCCATAATTTACTTCAACTCATCCAAATACGGCACATTGCTTACGTTTCCAAAAACTGCCATGGACAATTTACCTCCGCTCAAAACCTGTTTTGAAATAACCAAACAACACGTTATAGTTAATATGTAATAATAAATTAAGAAATATCATGTCAAAATCGTGCTTAAATGGAAAAAAAATATATTTAACGTACGGCATTCATATCTTCAGCAGTTACTGAGTCTACAAGGGCCAATTGTTCCGAAAGAGGTAAAGGTTTTCCAAGAAGGCTTTGAACGGCTAAGTATTCGACGAGACCTTGACCAGTTTCGTCCTCCAGGGCCAAATCCCCCTTCAATATCCCTTTCGCTCTGGTTGCATCTTGAGCAGAGAACTTGGCACTGCGCAAGATGTCTGCGGATTTTCGGGTAATCTATCAAATCGAAAAAATGGTCAACTCAGTCAGTTTTATAATTTAGATGTGTATATGTATACACAATTAATTGTATGAAGGATGTGCCGCTTACAGCGTCAACTCGTTTCGCTGGAGCAGCAATGTATACCCCGACGAGACCGGAATCCGAATATGATGCACTAAATCCTACGGCTGCTGCTTTTACGTCGTTGTCACCCAGTGCTGTGGTCAACTTGGAGTTTGGAGCAAGCCCGTGGCAAACACGGGATGGTGTTCCTAATGCGCGATGAACAAGAGCCGCTGCTGTAGCTTTTTTGGGGTCAGACAATCTATGCAGACGGACAAAAATTATTTATTGCTCGAATTAGTTAAAGTAAATTAGTAATAAAATCAACTCACGATGGACCCTGCACTGCCAACGCGACATAGGCTAGTCTATCATTTGTCTCCTTCCTCAAATCAGCCCCAGGATTGTATTTTGCCAGGGTACTGGCCTTCTGTCCACCCGAGAGGTTGAGTCTTGAAGCAAAATCGACTGCCTGTTCATGTGGCATACCTACTCCGACAACGGCTGCTTCGAGAAAGTTTTCCTTGACAAATTTGGATAACTGCGACGAAGAAAAACGAAAAAGTAAGATTAGCATGAGCTTTTCAAGTAATAAATGTCATCAAGTGGTGATGATTCTTCTAAATTGCATACCATTTCACTCTTATGATTTCCCAACATCCATTTTGGACTGTAGAGCGAGTAGCCAAGCCCCTTTCGAAACGCCGCTTTATGAATTTGTTCCATCAATCTGGCCTCCGGGGGCCTAATTGATCTTTCTAACCTTGCCCGAGGAACATTATCACTCACTTCCCATGGTTTGAAGACTTGGTTCATTGCGACGTCTTGGAGAAACTTGTCAACTGACGAACTGAACAACAAATCTTAATTACATACAATAACAGAATTACAAAATAATAGTACGGTTACTTTACATTTTATCTCTCGCTGCGTCAATCGTGTATCCGATAAATTCACGACCAGCCGTACAGCTCAAATTTGCACCAGCCAATTCAACATTTCTTGTCAATCCGAAATGAGAAGCTCCTCCCGTGCCGAGGCCAGCACAAATTCTCAGCATATGCACCACACCTTGTGTTTGATCAGTTTCAAACCGAGATCCAGCCCTGCGTAAAAAATGACGATGGATTTATAATTTTCACTTTATTATATTTGGTTGGTGACAACAGCCAGGTAATTACCGGAAGTAGATAGCAAGTCGAGAAATGGCCTGATTAGTTTCAATCGAAGCGACCGTCGTATTTCCAACTTTGCTAGTTTTCAACGTTTCCCGAGCCACGAATGGTGCTGGGGGTTCATTGCTTCGTTTAATGGCTGCGGCCGCACTAGCTAAATATCTTACGTGTTGTTTTGACTGTAACTAAAATCATAATCGCATAAATTAGAACAACGTGATTAAAATTCTATTAATGCTGTTAAAATTGATATTTCTTACTGCAACATTTCTAGCGTACGGTTGAAGGGCCATTTTTACTCGATAACAATTCGATGATGTCCGAACTCACTGAAATGAAGTAATCGTTTAATTAATTCAATCTTTCCACACTTGAAATTGAAATTTGAAATATAATCAAATCAAACTCAATTATTGAAATATCAACTTTACCACTTTAGATAAACTCCAGTTTTCCCTTCTTCCTAACACCGCAGTCTGCTAAGCACCTAACAATATCCCAATTAGAAAATAGTAATTAAAAATTTCTGGAAATTGGTCACAATTTTCAATTAAAATAATTAGATTGTTGCAAATAATAATCTCACCTGGTTCACACAATCCGGTTCCGTTTGCTGTGGGCAACAGGAGACGAAAAAGGTGCGTGAAATCCAAAACACTAACCGACTCTCATGTGCTTGGCAGCTTCATAATTAAAAATTTTATGAAGGTAGTAATTTGCAATTGCTCAAGTTTTTAAAAATATTTGTCAAAAGTAGTTACATTTTCAAATTAGTTGGTCGGTCAAACAACGTTACCTTTTGATCATAAACCGAGTTGAATGAAATAATTGAAGGTAAGTAGGCCCGCTCATAGGTGGTTTGTTTTTATATGGTTTATTTCAAGTATTTTATTTTGCTAAATTTCCAACATCTAAATATTTTGATTTGAAGAGTTTATTTTTCTAATCAATAAAACATGGTTGACCAATTGGTAATTATTGACTTAAAATATGTATTGTTTCAGATTGAAGAAAGGAACCGATAGAAGAAATATTTCAATTTGTCTTCCCAAATAATGACCCCACTGCGTTCTAGCCTTGCAAACGATCCAGAAGACGAGAATATGGAGATTGACTCAGTTCATGTCCCCAATGAGGGTGGAATTACGTCAGCAAAGTCTAAACTTACCTCCAAGGATCGTAATGAAACTCCTGAAGAGAAAAAAGCCCGTCGCAAAATGGAGAGGAGGAGGCGAACAAGTTTTAAATCTGGCCCTGACCACAGTACGCCACGCTTGAGGGGTGCATTGTTGAAGCAATTTAGCAAAATATTCGATACAGAGTCCGCCTTTGTGCTGGGAGTGCAGCAGGTAGTGAAGCTTAAGCAATATAAAAATATCTAGTTGAAATTAACTGTGAAATGATTTTTATTTATGAAAATAACTTTGTTCAGGCTCTCCCAGAAGTACGAAATCCCCACCTCCACCCAGACGAAGACGAAAACATGGATAATTTCCTTCTTGAAGATGAATCCGATAAAAAGACTGCGGCTAAACGTAAAAAGTTTTTAGCGAAGATGGAATCCAATATGAGAAAAGATGCCAAAACCCCAGCGGATGAACAATCACAACCACCACAGAGTTATGAACATCTAAAGGAACGTCTTCACGCTAAAATAGCTGCGTTGAGTGAGTGAAACTTAATTTAATGATGTTGAACATAAAGTAAATTGAAAATAATAATTTTCCCACAGGCCAGAAGAAGAATGAAAAGAAACGATTGCGCAAACTTAAAAAGGCAGAATTTAAAAAGCAAGAGGAATCATCCGACAAGAAGAAAAAGTTCATTTCAAAAGCAAATCCAAACTTGAAGAATCAACAGAGAGGTGAATCTTCTGCTGTGATAAAAGATGAGAAAACGGTTCCTCCTCCAAAGACACCATTACGAAAGAAACCTGTAGTGAAATCCAATGGAGAAATTGTCTATTCAAAATTCGACTTTATTTCACAAGATGGTAAGAAAATTGAAAAGTGTAATTATAAAGTGTTTTATAAATTTCTATAAGAAAATGTATGATTTACAAAGATCCTGCTGCCAAGAAGATCAGACCAAAAGCGGAGGATTTATTGAAGAAAGTCCAAAAAAGTGCGAGCACAGTAAGCCATTTGGAATCAAAGGGGAAAATTAAGGAGGCTGTGAGCATAGTAGAAGTGCAGAAATGGGACAGTGCTTTAAAACGAGCTCAAGGCGAAAAGATTCGAGATGATGCCACTCTTTTAAAGAAAACTATTAAAACCCAAGAAAAAAGGAAAAAGGTTCGTAAAAGAAGACCACCATGTTTAATTATTTAAATTACGAAACATTATGTATCTTAAATTTATAATATTATTTTAGGTGAGCAAAAAGAAGTGGCAGGAACGCACTGAGCGGGTAGACAAAGAGAAAGAAGCAAAACAAGACAAGAGAAAGGCCAACATTCAAGCCAGAAAAGATGAGAAGGTAAAGAAAACTAAGAAACAACTAAGGAAAAAGGGGAGAATTGCGTAATGTGCAAATTTCTAGGAAAATGTTAGCTCATATCTTTACATACATTTATTATTAGACCGATTTCGTGCTCTGTACTCTTTAGTGCTCTTTCGTAATTATTTCTGACTACATAAATTTTGTAATCATGCATATTTAAAACCGAATCTTAATTAGGATTAATTAACTACAAGCAAGATTATCTGCCTTATTCGACCTTATCATGTTACGTATGCTATTTTTGCATTATAAAATTGTTACGTAAAAACCCTTGCCTTGTTATTCTAGAATTATTTTTTGCTTAATTAACTACACGATTGGTTTCCACATTTCTCCATTCCGACGCAGTACCCCTCATACCTACTGGAATCACCCAGTAGTAAGTATTCATCGTGCCTTTTCGCGTTAATTCATCGTGTTGCCTTTCCACCATAGTAAATGAGTCGGGAAGATGAATTAAAAGCTAAAAATAAAGAGATTCCTTTATGAAACCGGATCCACCTAATTTATAATTCTATCTGAAACCACGGACGGGGTCGGCACCATATGTAACGTATCACCACCCGTATCCGCACATCCTAATCTCATTCACTTTTTAAAACTTTTTCAATTATTAACGAACGAGAAAACCGTGAATTGTTTATTAGATTGTTGTGTATGTACTCAGCGTCTTGGCCGCTTGTTTTGTATCGTATCGTGTTGTGCGTGTCATGCAAAGGAATCATCCACTTTGTCCAGAGGGGCTGAAAACCTTTTTGTCCAAAACAAACCACAATTCACACCGGAAGAGAAAGCAAACATGATAAGAAATTCAAACTCCCAACAAACCACGAACGGCCGGATAAGCTCACAAGCTCAAATTCGAGATTCAATTCCGGATTTGTATTATGTTCCGAGAAAGAAGAACAAACAAAATTTATGCCTCAATGCAAATTCTAATTAATAAATAATTCATCTCGATTTTAGCAAGAATTTCGTGACAACGGCATAAACACACTTTTTACCCCTACTTCCTTTCCCCCAGTCCACTCTCCATCGAAATATATGTAGAACAAGTAGCGTATGTACGTAGAGGAACCATGCATCTCATTCTGCATCATCATCATCCTCGATCCTCTATTCCATCCGGTGGAGAAAGTAGCGGACCCCCATGGGAGAACTTGTCCAGGAAAAAGAACATTTCCTTCCTTTTCTGCACTTTCCCTCTTGAGAAAAACAATTGGAACCCATTTTTTGGCTCGTGTTCAACTCTTCAACCCCCAAAATATCCACTTACTCCATTCTCCATTAATGCCTCCACAACTCAGTTCTTTCTACGGAAGGAGAGGAAAAAATTATACGAGATAATAATAGTGGATAGGTCGGTATTGAGGTGGGACGTACGTACGTACATCCTTACCTACGTTCGGATAACACGCTACTTATTTAGGTGTGAAGTAGTGAAGTAGATGTGCTTAGTAAAAGTAAAAGTTTCGAGATAACGGGAAAGAAAGTTTGCATGCGGTTGGTGGAGATAATACGCGTTCAAGAAAGAACATGAACACGAGAGCATAATAAATACATCCATTTCCGCCCAGTTTTCCAAATGGTGATGATATAATAATCCATCCGGTATTTTGCCCCACATGCTTTCTCCTCCACTCTCGCTCGGTATGCATTTTAATGGCGAGTTTATAAATTCGAGATCATTACTTGATTTGTATTCATATAGTGTGAACAGATAAGGAGGCCATTTTTTCAGAAACTTTTGCACTTTCCAGTATTTTATTCAACATTTAGATTAGATTTAAATTTAGATTGTTAACATTTTAGCAAAAACTCCAATAAAAGTAGAGTAGAGCATTAGCAAAAAAGGAAGTGTTATTTTTACAGTAAGTTAGTTAAGTATAGTATGTATTTTTTAGAAAAAGTATACAGTTCTAGGATCATAGATTTGGGGGAAGGGTTGGCAAAAATAGTTTCAGATAATGGTAGACAAGGACAGGTAATCGGGTTATTCAGACAACAGACGAGTAGATCAAACCAGGAATGCGAGTAGTAGTACCACCCACACGTGCACCCCCATTTCCCACGTTTTCTCCACAAATCGGTGATGGTGGGGTCAGTACGATCTCTTCATTGGGCATGGGACGAACCCCATTTTCAATGTTATTGTTGGGCGACGAGAGCTGCGTGATGGCGTCGTAGCGTTGTTCCACCATCTCAATCTCCATCGTCGTCGTGGCCAGTTCGCTGCCTAAAATGTTTCCGAAGGGTGAACCCCCTCCACTGCAGCCTAAATGAATGCATACCAAAATATTTCAGTAAATGGTTACCTATCTTGAGCTTAATTTAACTCACCATTTCCCAAACTGAGACTGAGTGGTGGACTCCGTTGCACTATTGACGCACAACTTCGCTCATTCCAAAAATCATCTCTGCAAAAAAAATAATATTTTGATAAGGCCAAAGAAAATAAAGTTTAGGGACAAGTTTTTAAATTTAATTCACTTAAGTGCCACATTATATAACAGTCTTGTTACACAAGAAGAAAAGATCATAAAATTTCGATAAATCAATTTGGACCGTAATCTCCAGCACATTACGTAACAAAAAGGCTTGTATAAACTACTTACCGATGAGCAAGGCGAGCTCTTTGTCTCCTTTTAGCAGCCATTTTCCGCAGCCAGCAGATAATGAGGAATACTACGATTGGGAAGAAAAAAATGCTCGATACGATCGGAACCACGACCACTTGAGGGTCCACTGCAATTTAAAACAAAGGGTATAAAAAGACATAATTAATTATTCATTTGATCTCCATCCATCGCCCATTATGCATGCATGCGTCACAGCCTCTGCCGACCACTACCTACTTTCACTTTGACATCACTCCCTCCTCCGATGCTATCTGCCATAACAGTTCATTGTTTGACAACAGTAATTACAGCCTCGTAATCTTGTCATCGCATCAAATCGTCACACCATCCCGGGAAGTGTGACGCATTATGGATCTCCACTTATTATGCAACCAACCGGGCGTCCTAAATTTCAGAATGCACCCATCATTTCACCATCGCCTCATTTCTCTCGCCAATTTAGTTTAACGACTTTTTCCTTCCCGACCTGCCGCAAAAAGTAATAACCCAAGCAAGGTCGCAAGTACTTGCAAGACATGAATTCCACCAGCGGCGGACTGCGGGCTGAGTGAAACTACTCGTAAATTAAATTGTATCGCTGGAGAGTAATAAAATGTAAATAAAAAACAAACTTGGCCAGGCCAAATTCTTCTCTCTGCTGGATTGGGCAGGGAGTCTCATGATTTAGGAAATTTTACCAAGTGGACAAACCATAGTCGCATTACGTCCACGCCAAGTGTCCCAACATGCTGACACCACCACCACAACGACTTTATATCATCTCCCACAAGACAAGATAGTGCAGTGCATGGTGGAAGGAAAACTAGTAGCGTGAGATGCATGCAGTCTTTAATTCCTGAAGAAGAATGGACCAAACTTTCACCCAAAAGCAGCCACTTTATACTTTCACCTATCCACAACTACATTACATTAAGCATGTTGAACAACTCTCTGGGGGGATGGTGGTGTGGTATTTTATTTTATTTTGTCCTCTCTATTATCTCTGTTTGTTGTGGGTTTGTGCATCGAGCTGTGTCATCTATTTTGAGAAGATGTTGCTGCTGCTTTCTCTGGAAACAAGTGTCCTGCTGCTGCTGTTGGTCGTGGTGTTGGTCACCACGAGCCGAATTCTCTCGTTTTCATTACATGCTGACTTTTCTAACTCAATTCAATTCTGATGAGGTTTTATTGTTTCTGGTTCTGGGACTTGGTTTGCTGTTTGATTCCCGTTCCGTTTCTTGTCCGTGGTTGGTTTGTGACTGAACTTTGTTTGACTTTGTAGTTTAAACTTTTTATAGGGGAAGACTCATTTCGAGGACATTCTTGAATTTAACTGGAGTACATGCATGCGGGACAGTGTTGTATTCTGCTTTGTTTGCAAATTTAGAAAATTGCTAGGGAGTTGCATGCATGACATGTCACGCTCTTCCTCGGTACAGATGACGAGGATGGTGGTCTTTTTGGAGTGAATTCATTCTTGGCAGGGCGAAATTCTTGCCAGTTTTAACGAGTAAATAAAATATATCAAAACTCGAAACATGAAATTTGGCACAATAAAGACTTGTAATTGACGAAGGGAAAAAACTTTCATGACTTTCACCCACGCTAAAATTTTATTAGTTTTCTTTGACCAAAAACCAAAAAGTGCACTTTATTCTTTTTCTCAAAGTTGGAGCCATTTTGTGGCACGTAGGTTATCTTTTAATAATGGAAACACTAGGGCGGATTACTCGGAAATATGTATGCGTGTGATATCCATCCACTTTTTGTGACAAGTGCATCTGCTCCAATTCCACATAAATAATCGATTCAATCCAGATCCAGATCTACGTTAAATGAGAGAAAGTTGCATTTCTCTGATCTCCTCGTCCGTGGGCTCATTTCATTTCTCGGTATTCATATTATTCTTATACCTATTTTCCTTTCTATTCCATTTATTGCGTTCAAATAAATAACATATCCCATCATTTTTCCCATGTTATTTTCTCATGCACTTCTTCCATGGCTCCATTTCCTGTCACAAAAGAAAGCCTCTCGCTGATGGAGAATGTAGCCAGCCAGCCAGAAAAAAAATAAGTTATGCATAATGTTCCCCGCGTAGGTATGCATGGAACAGAGGGCTGTAAACGACAACACATTTAATAATGTCCAATCTAAAACGAAATGCACAACATCAGGTCGGATTACTGCAAACTTGGTAGCAAAATGACATTGGATAAACTGAGCAAGGTGAAGGTTAACAAGTTGCCTGGTTGTAAGTAATCCCAGTTTTACTTGGTATTTTACATTTGCAAAAATATATTAAGCCCCGCGTGCCCTTCTTTCTGGAGGCCATGTATTAAATTTCTTCCCCAAGAAAGAACAACAAATCTCTGCTTTTCACGAAAGTGGAAAAGTGAAAGCAGACTCGGGCACATTTTTTATTTCTGGAGAGAGAGAGAGAAATACGGAAAAATTGGGCAGAGAGTAGGCAGACGAGGCAAATTGAGACTTTCACTTTCTCTCCTCCTCCCGTGATGATACTGCTTTTAATTTCTTTGATGAGTCTGACCCCTCTTCTTCTTCAATTAAAAAAGATTACGTACGCACTATTATGGATTAAAAGATCAAAGAAAGTTGTACTTTCTCCTCGGCAGCATTTTAAATTTCCATCAAAGGAATATGACGGAGTTTATATGAGAGAAAGTTCCCTCTAGCTCAAATCTAACTCTGGAACGATTTCGTAGACCAAAACGGGATCAGGATCCTCTTATATAAATAATAAATCCTGTCAAGAATAATCAATTAGAGCGGCATGAAAACAAGTTAATGCTAATTTTGCTCGCAAAGCATAACGCTCCCTCAACTTTCTTGACTCGACTCGGATACGGAATTCTCTAGATTGATGGGACAGGATGTATGTATGGAAAAGAAGAAGAACTTTGATTCTCTGCCCTGTCGTCGTCCTTCCCTTTGAAGAGGAAGAATCCGGACCGGAATTTCATTCCATATCAATATTCAATATTTCATCAATGCCAGAGGAGCAAGAAGAGGGCTAAATTTAGAGAAGAAAAAGAAAATATATAAGCAACCAAAGCCCGACTTTCTCCAACTTTCTCCAACAAAATGTGAGTGAGTAAAACCCGACAGGATCGACCAACCAACCGACCGACGATGACATCCCATAATAATAAAAGAAAGGAGTCAAAGGCAAAGTGAAAGTCGAGTCAAGAGCGACTCGATTGGATCAAGTAGTCATGCATGACTGATAATGCAAAGAGATCCGAATAACGACAAATGTACGCTCATATTCTTTAACAAAAATTGACAAAACCAGTCAAAAATGTCAAAATTTACACAAAAAATCTATAAAAGTCGTAGAGAAATCGGGTACAGCACAACACAACCACCCACCCATCCCATTACTTTTATGAAAATGGGGATACTTGAGAAATCTCATCTTCAATACAACTGTCAGCTTTCTCATTTCGGTATCGTATCAACTTTCATGTCTCCAATTATGTCAAGTATTTCATCATTGTAACGAATTTATTTCGTCTCAATTTAGCCCTCCGGATTTATTTCTCTCTTGTAGCAGAGTGGAATCTAAAAATAAAGCCGTGGTCCGAGGCAACAAGAAGTCAAGTAGTTTCACACTCATAATCTCTCCACTTTCCACTGCTTCTTCAACTTTCACTTGACTCATCTATTCTCCCACTTGATCCTTTCCCCCCACTCGAGAAACATGAGCGGATATCCAATCCGAAAGCCGGCTCTAGTGACAAATTTTTAGGAATCATCCTTCCCCCAGAAAGCAATTGTTGATCTTCATCTCCAAGCCGAGAAAGAAGACGGAGAAAAAGAAGAACGGGACCGGATTGCTGGAATTACACGCAGGCAAGCAGCAGGATCAAGTATTTCTTTAAAATAACAATAACACACGAGGCAGCCGACCAACTTTGAACTTTTGTTCACCCGAAGAAATGCGAGTGAAGGAATGATGAAAAAGATAATAATAATATTGGCCAGATGTGGAAAGGGAGAAGAAGAGGAAGAAAGTTGATCCGTGACGACGAGAATAAACAAGAAATATAAACGATTGACGTCACATTTTCTCAGCTTCATATTATCAAAAGAGGAAGAGGATACAATTTCACAGCCTTTCTCAAACACAGCATCAAACGGACGGAACTAATTTCGGAGAAGAATTCGATTCCAATAATGAGTTTGGATTTTCTGGGAATGTTTTACCACTGTGTTGGGCATGCAAGGTATAAATTAACCAAAAGTGGTGTTACGTATGAATGTATCTATTTGGGGAAAATCGTCACTTCGCATTTTCTATAATTACATGGGAGGGATGCATCCAAACTTTCACCCGCATCCGAATCCACCAATCCACCCACCAAATTTCTATCTATAAAACAAAAGAGAACTGTTTTCCGTACCTAACACAGCAACGCTTTAGCTTTCCCTGAGATTCACACAAAACTCGTAACTTTGCCAAATCCAATGAATTTCTCGCCATAAATCAACCCATCTTGTCGATGAGATGATATCCAAAAATGAAACTCGTCCATTCGTAAACTCCTCTCCAAACCAAAGTAAAACCAACATCCGGAACGGATTCTACCTTCAGAATTCATAGGAAAAGTCAAGCCCTTGGAGAAAGTCAGTCTTCCCCTTTCACTTTATTATTCCTGCCCTGTTCTCCTAACTACCAAAGTGACCTGAACCTCTCTTGAAGGAGTAGTCGCGCCCCATTTTCCCATCCAGTTTTTGGTGGATTTATCCATCCCACAGATATTTTATTTTTGATGCGGAGAAGAAAGCACCCCGACCGACCAGACCACCCTGCTGATTTACGACCAAATGGTGCCCTCACTCCTCTAGGTGGCACATCTTCATGATAAATTCTCTCCTCGATTCTCCACTCCACCCACAGGAAAGCAAATAAAAAAAGAAGAAATCAAATCCCTCTCGAACCATAACTTCAAATTAAACGAGCATGTCGAGTCGTGCATGTTTGCAATGAGTATTAAATAGTTGGAGTGATGAAAAGTCTATTTCCGGTGCAAACACGGATCCAACCACCCACACATAAAATCAACTTGACGTGTTGACCATGACCCAGACTGACATAATTTATAAAGTCTGCACACACACAGGGCCATTGTTAAAAAAACCTTGGTCAGGGTTTTAGAGATTACGTTACATACATACGTAATAAATATTCGTAACCATTACACGCCCACCCACGCTGCGGTGGTAACACAGACATTACCGGTTTTATGGGGATGTTAAAAAGTGTTCAATTTCATACCGACTAAAGTGACTTTATTGCTGTGTAAAATTCGGTAAAAAAATAACACGGAATTTTGAATGCTGAGAAAAAATTTGGTTACAAATTAGCAAAAGTTACCTGTCGGATAGATGATAATGACCCGTGTCGTCCTGTTGGGCAGGATCCCTGCTTGCAGTGGTGGAAGTGAAGACGCGTCTACACCAGCACCCACGGAAGGCCAACTATTCATCTCATATCATGTTTCATAATGTTCTTTCATCGTTTGATGTTGTGGAAAAATAAGGGCTCAAATTCCACTACCACGAAATAATAAGGATACTGATGATGTAATCATTGTTCGTCGATACGACCTTGTAATTGGATTGTTCCTTTAGCTACATAGTCGGGTTGTTGAACGATTTTCTTGGAAAATGAGTTTGAGTGAGCAGTAAAAGTAGTAGCACTATTCGCACCGGTGGTAAAATTACTTGGTTCGTTTTCACTTTCACCACCATTTCTCAAGTAGCGAGAGAAAGTGGAGAGATGGATGTCGTAAGAGTAATTGGTTCTCTCGAGTCCAATCCACTCATATAAATAAGTTTTAATCAGATATTGGGTTGGACATGTGGCTTGAGGGACAGGAAATGTCAATTCGTCGCACACCTTATTTCGGACTTTCTCCTCCCCAACTAACTAACAAGTTGGCAAGTGTTCACCCTTCTTCTTTGACGACCAGCTACTTAATAATGAGGAGAACGATGCCATTTGAACTCTTATTTCTTATCTAGTTTTTCCACAAAAATTGGGAAACTGCCCAGCCCACTGGATGAGTAGATGTACCACCAGACCGTGAAATCCACCACCAACCAACATAAATATGGGTAGGCTGGGTGTGTTGCAAATTAGCAGGACTGATTTGTGTGGTCGGGGGACTTTGCGCCTCGAGGGAGATGAGACTTTATGTCGTCCAATTTATTTATTCGGGTCCTTTCACCCATCCATCCATCCACTTTTTGTCAGAATCTTCTTCTACTTTCCCTCCAAAATTGCGGATTGGGTTGGATTTAATGGATTTATTTACTTTTTTATATCCCTCTTTCTCTCTTTTTACAGATTTTCCTGTGAAATTGAATTCGGAATCAGAAATAGTGAGAGAGTTACACAATTCTAAAATGAGAAGATGTAAAAAAAATATGGGGGAACTTACGTCGTAAAGTCTCATTTTCACACCTGTAGTGGAGAAAGTATGGGTGCACATGGTGGAAGAAGGGCAAGGGTGATCTTGTTAAATCCGGTCTCAGTTTGCCTCACAAATTGTATTTTACAGTATTTTTTTCCTGATACCGTAATAAATCTTGATTAATGCAGGTTTACTACCTTTTCATTATTTCAATTTATTTATACATTTGCACGACTTAAATGCCGAATTGTTTAATTATGGTTATTAATAATTTAGTGGAAATAATTAGGTGATAGAGATTTGTAAAATTAATTTGTAGTAAACAAGTCGACAATTTCTGATCAATTTTACACTTCAGAAATATAAACCGTGTCTCAATCTGCCCCCACAATCAATCCGCAACTTTCTCTCTTCGTACTCCGACTGCTCCAACAGAGTGAAGCCAACTGGGGAAAAGACTCGAGAAATGGTTCGTTTATAAAGAAAGTGCTAAAATTGTGTTACAAACATCGCGTTGCAAAGTCTCACTGCCACCACGAATAACCAATTATGCCCAACATCACACCATTTCGGGATCAGTTTTCCCTTGTAATTGTTACAATAATTAATTATAAACGGTTCTTCAGTAGTCAACTTCAGGTGGGTGGATTGGATTGGATGAGCAGCAGCATCCTGTTGTCAGTTATTGATGATGATGATGAACGTTGAACTCGTTCGTATAGCAAGTCAGGAAGATGCTTACATCCGCTTTCACCCGTACAAATTAGTGTTTAATGGTACCTACGAAAGCCTCCAGAATTAGAGAATCTCGTAGACGAACGACCTTAAAATGGTTCCATGTGTCTCTTTGACTTTCGATAATTAAAGGAAAAGGGAAAGTTGTCACTTTGTATAGCACGTAATTACAAACATGATGACATGACATGCCACGTAGCATAGTTCGTACGTACGGGTTCATCAGTATTCGTGGCTGGTCGTCTTGTATATTTGTTCTATTCCATCCAACTTATTATATTCCTTCCCCGACCTTCCAACCAGCATAGATCGCCAGCAGATAGACAAGCGAGTCGTGTAATGTCGAAATAGTTTAAGTTATTAAAACGGATGCACCAAATTCTGTTCTATGAAATGAAATTGCTCTTTTAATATTTTATGTGGGTCAAATAACCTCAAAGCAAGTGTGCGTAGCGTATTGTCGGCATTTAATAATGTATTTGTCAATTTGGGATGCAGTTGCTTCATTTTAGACTACATTGAGAAATTCATAGTTTAATTTTATTCGGTAACTAGATTCTTGAAATGGTTTAAGTTTCAGAGAACACAGGACTGTGGTAAATACAAAATCAGGACAGAAATGTTGTAAGTTTAGGCAGAAACGTCATATCTTGTAATAATTTTGTTATTTAAGACTAAATTCGTAACCTAGCCTAACCTAATTATCAAGGATAATTAGCAGGTCTGACGTGTTCAACTCGGTTATATTTAGATTTGTTTAGTTATTCATGAAAATAAAATCGACCAGGTAGAGATTTGAACATGATGCTAATCTATTAACTATACATACACCTGTTTATTTCATAAATTATACCCATTTCATGTGTACCCCTAAAACTTAGTAAAATCGTCAACCTTTTAATTAAACATGTATAATTGCCATATTACTGAATTTAAATTAAGAAGTGCACAAATTCTCATCATATCCACACATGAATAATTTCTCACTTTCACGTGTCCAAATACTTGCCCAACTTTCAGCAAAAATTACTAAAAACGAGTTTTAAAACAATGCAACAGCAACATTTATCATGATTAATGATAAATGTCTCACATTTTGCATTCCACAAAACATCACAGGATCCACTACACACATCCTCTCCAACTTCTATAAGTATAACTCTCCTCCTTCCTGCTACGTAACACGATTTTGAGAAAGGACACACACACAACTTCAGTCACACACACTAAATAAATCATTTCGTAATTTTTATCCTCCATACATAAACTATCTTTTAAAGTAAAAGTGGTGAAAGTGGAGGGAGGAGAGAAAGCGGGTCCTTCGCTCGTAGTAGATATTCCATACACAATTTCATAACCGATTAAGCAGAAACAATATGGGGAAGAATGTTCCATAATTCTGAAATTCAAATTCATCTTCATTCCTGTCTCATTCCTTCCTCTAAACTTGCTACTTTCACTTTACTTTCTCTACTCATCCAACCAAAAGACCCCATTTGGTGCACATACGTCGTACGACTACATTTATGATGCGACGAGGAGTTCCGTCTTCTCCTTGGCCGTGAAGTTTACAAACACACAGGAGGCTACAATTTGTAGCTGATGTACAAACCATATCTACCAACCAACCAACGAACCAGACCAGAACACATTATTGCTCAAAAGAGTAAGCTAATACAAAGTACAACATTTTTTAATAAGTGTAATGCATCTCGCAAAAATCTTGGGAAAGAGAGACAGTGACAAATTGCTGGATTAAGGAAGAGGAAGGCAAAAAATAGATATGGCAGTGGTGGTGGTAACAGAATAATGGGGAAAGTGGAGAAAGTGCATGCTTTCAGTTAGGCTGACTCAAAGTGTAAGTAAGTTTGGAGCAGGTGGCACATAATGACCGGAAATTAGGGGAATAATTACATTATTACAATATATTGACTTCATTTTGAGAGCTGTATTGTCAGGTCGGGACACATAATTAGGGATAATTTGGGACCATGTTTTTTCTCAATAAGGGACAATTCATAAATTAAATGAGAGTAGCAAGAGAAAATTGTGAAATACGCATGTATATGCACGACTTGGATCATTTTCGCATATAATTCTGAACTTGATTTATTCATGGGAAGAAGACAAATCCGCTTTTTTTCATAATATGGGAACAAATCACTTTCAGGAACAAAAAGAGAAAGCTATTTATTTGCGTTTCTCGTGTGAATGGCACACTTGCTAGTTTGTGGTTCGCCGAACCACTGGTGGTTCGGAAGTCCCGAACCGAACCGAACCCCGAACCGAACCTGGTTCGGTTCGTGGTTCGGTTCGGTGAGTTTAAGAAAAAAAATTGGTCCGGTTCGGTTCGGTTCGGAAATTTTGTTTAAAATTGTTGGTTCGGTTCGGTTCGGAAAATTTTGTTAAAATTGCTGGTTCGGTTCGGGAATTTTTAAAAAAACTGTTGGTTCGGTTCGGTTCGGTTCGATTGAACCGAATGACCAACTACTCCTGTTCATTATTTATTATACAGCCCTGAACGTCATCGCTCATTGCTAATAACATTGCAATGATGACGTCCAGTGTTTTTCATCATAAAGAACAATATTAGATGGGTTTTCTGATGCTGCCCCATCTGTTGGGAACAAAATTGGACTATATTGGTTCGGAAATCCCGAACCGAACCACGAACCGAACCGAACCAGGTTCGGTTCGTGGTTCGGTTCGGGAATTTTTCTTAATTTACTGGTTCGGTTCGGTTCGGAAATTTTTTTACAAATCGCTGGTTCGGTTCGGTTCGGTTCGGGAAATTTCTTAAAAATTGATGGTTCGGTTCGGTTCGGGAAATTTCTTAAAAATTGATGGTTCGGTTCGGTTCGGGATATTTTAAAAAAAATATTGGTTCGGTTCGGTTCGGTTCGATTTCCCAAACTAGCAAGTGTGGTGAATGGAAACACAAATGGAATTGCATGAAGAGTCGCTTTTACCGATTAAATGGCATATTATTCAAGAAATATATGGAAAGCAAGTCAGGAAGTGATTGATTGTATGTGATTGGATTTCCCTTTGTTACGTAATCTGCACCATCTGCTGCAAAATAATTTATTTATATTTTGTGACAAAATTTTCACTTCAATTACAATTATTTATTTTACATAAATAAACTGTAACATATTCATGCTCATATCCGAGTCCTATTTTTAAGTGGATCAGACAGAAAGGATTTCTAGCAACCTTGAAATTGAGAAGAGTGAGAGAAAGTGAGAAAAATGGGACAAAAAAAGATGGGTATAAAAATATGGATAAAATTTAAGTAGATAGATATCGGGCGAATCTGGGCATCTTTCTTTCTCCTTTTTGTGGTCTCGAATCTGCAGCCTTGTTCTGGTTGAATAATGATTATGTAAGGTACAGATTCACGGTGATGATTATGATGATCCAATCCAGATTCTTCTACTAGTCGAATGTCCATGGTCCTAGTTAGGCTGGAAGTTTTGGCAACTTCAAATACCAGTGAAACCACACAGGCAGGGCTGGAGGGAATTGAGTTTTTACCCTGAAAATGTGACGTTAATTGAAAAATATGCAGATTGAATTGACATTAGGAACGTGACGAGAATTAAAAAGTTGGTGTCTCATCTAGAATTGAGATTGATTATAAAATTATTTTATTATGTATACTTGATGTCGTGACCAAAGCTTCAAAATACGCTTGGTAGAAAATTTGTCAATACAATTTCTGATTCATGTACAAATTTTTGGACCAAAATATAAATACGGTATAATGAATTGATTCTCATTCAAAGAATATTGGAAAAGTTGAATAATAAATGGAGTCGAATTTCTTTAGTAATTTTAAGCACACAAAAAGTTTTCCTTCAAATAATTTCTTAGTGAAGTAATAAATGATGACTAGTTTGGCCAGATGCAGTCAGTTCAGTTCAGTCCGGTCCAGTCGTTCTTAATTTGATAGGAGAAAGCTCAAATCCGACCCGGTAGGATATTCTTTCGGATCCTGGCCTCTGTGGCAAATAGTACGACAAAATGTAAGAAAACGTAATAAAAAAACTGCAATTTACTGATCCGCTTACTGGAGGAATAACCGTGCAGGAAATAATCCGCCCAGTGTAGCCTGATCACCCATCACGTGTAGAAATGATCCCTCTCGAAGTCCAAGAACCGGTGGCATCTTCATTGGAAGGCTGTGGTATTCGTTGATTCTGTCCTCCCGAGTTTCCTACATGTTAGAGTCAAAATGACATGAAATACAATCCATATCAATATCGAACATGTCTCTTTGCCACGCTTCTCACCCCCATATGCGTGCTATCCTCTTTTGTCTCAATAAAATGCGGATTAATATTGAATGGAAGAAGCCCAATTGCGTCGAAACTTTTGCAATGGACGATCGGCATGTCGTTTGTTGTGCAAATTGACACTGTTGCAACGTTTGTTCCAGCACTGCTTCCCATGTATGGAATTCCATCCTAAATGAAATCTATATGAATTCTGGAATTATGTAGATAATTATTCATTCCCTTCTTACAGTCAGCACCCGTTTACGAATAGCCTCCAATAATTGTGCATCCTGCAACTTCTTCAAGAGATGAAACGTATTGCCTCCTCCAATGAAAATGCATTCGGCATTATTCACTGCATCAATAGGGTCGGATGTTTCATTCAATCCTTTCACGGTGAAGCCTGGTACAAAAGAAAATCAAAATCTTGGTCACAACGTATTTTCGCTTATTTTTTTCTTTTAATACTTACCCCACTTGCTCAACTCGTTTCTAACTTTGGTCGTGTAATTCGCCTCGGAAGTGGTGTCAGCATACGGCACGAAGAGAACTTGTTTGACACCATTTCTACAAGAAATACGAAAAAGTTGATCATAGTTTTCAATTTTTTTTACACAAACTTTAACTCACTTGTTAAAGAACTCTTGAATATATTCTCGTGCGTATTCCAAAAATCCCGAACCGTGCAGCGTAGAATTTGAGAGGAGAAGTAGCTTCCGCATGACAAATAAGAGTTAGTAATTCTCCTTATTTATTATGAGTCGTCCAATCCAGAAATGAATCTGCAACTGAGAAATGCACAAATATAAAATCCAACACTTGTATTATTCTTTTTATCAGTTGATGTTAAATGCTTAAATAATTACAATAATTTGAGAGGTTGTTGAGATAAAAGGAAGATTCGGGTTGAAGTGCGTACATGAAATTATGTCATGATATCATCATCAACTTAACAAGGAATATCAAAAGCACAGAAAACCCGATAGATATTCAGTTCGAGTCCTCTCCCTTATTCTTCCACATTATGTAGTCAAACAGTCAATGACAAAGTAGTTAATTATGATAAAATGAGCAATTGTTCGGGATAGAATGCAACGTGAGTGAGTGCACTTGAACTCAAGGACTTATGCCATGCATACAAACAAATTGGTACAATGTACAATTAGGTTTAATTGAGATGTGAATAGTGCACAATTGCATTATTAATGCCTGACTACACTCATTAATCATTATTTTATGAATACTAGTAAAGTGAAAGTACGCAACAGACATAAAACAGATACTTAAACCAATTACGTTCAGATAATTTACAAATTTAAGGCATTTATACCAAAGCAATGATTCACCTTTTTTATTAGCATGCTAATCAGTATACTTAAAATATTCTTATGCCCGTTGACACTCCAGTAAATAGGTTTTTAACGCTACACACGACTAAGTAAGCCTAACGATTTATGTAAAAACCACATTATGCATATCAAACAAAATTCGACAAAACATGACGAATTTACATAGGCACTGCTCCCGGATTGGGTGTTGGCGTTAAGACAGCCTCAGCAGCAGCGGCATTCTTTTGTCGTCTGGCTAAGGACTTATCTGCATTTTGTTTACGTCTTTGTTCTCTCTCTTGTTTCAAGCATTTCAACATGGCGTCATTTGCTTCGTTACAGAATCCAACAAATTTGCGGAATTTGTGTTGTTGATGACAATTCTTGAGGGCGTCGATGAGCAGGTTGCACTCGGGGGAGTGGTTACTTGGGGAAAGATCGGGATGCATTTTTAGTGCAAGTCTGTAAAGTAGATTCTGGTATTACATATTTGTATCAATATTGCTGAAAATTTGAAGGAAGAGCTTACACGGGAATTGTTCTTAATCGACACAATTGGATGATAGCCTTTATCTTGGAGCAAATTTATGAGTCTGGTCTGGATGGAGTGATGATAATGTCGGCTGTATTGGGATTTAGATTTAATTGGGGTCAAAGCTGACACATTGACATAACATTCGCAACATTCTATCTATGCGAAGCATGCGACATCAAACTGGATAATATGACACATGATCTAATAATCTAAAATTTAGTGGTCACACGTCGATAAACCCCATGACTTAGACTTAAGTAATTTTAATTACATTACAATTTATCAGAGAGAAAAGTAACAAACCTGGCAGGTTATGGCTGGATTTCTTGCCGGTTAAGAGTCGATCAGTCCTTTATGTCGGCTTATCTTGTGGACTTGTGTCTTGGTCTTCTTGTGCACTTAAAGAGTTTTGGTTGGTGGCGAACATTAATTAACTATTGAACTTGAATGAATAGTTAATCAACAACAACCGATGAAATGACGACTGACGAAATAATCTTGTTTTTGAGCTTCCTCTCATGCATCCATTTCCACCCCGGCCAAGCAAAACGTCAACCCGCCCACAAAACGGAGCACATGCTGATTTGTAAATTATTAGACTTGACGTTTGTACATTCGCTCAATACAAAATAATTATTATATTTAGTTAATTGACATATTATTCGGACAAAAAAATGAACGTGGACAAGGAATTGGCCGAGATTTTGCGTCAAATTGACGATCATGAACCTGCCGTGGTACTGAAGGGTTTGAAAGCTTTGCTACAATGCTTGGATACTGTGGTAAGTCTTTGGTTTCGTTAGTTAATCAACTTCTTTAGTGCAATTAATGCATTATCCAATAATTCGCGTTTCCTTTAAGGATCAGACCCCCTTGTATCGGAAAATATGGGCTCATGTAGTTTATGACGCCCTCAATAAAATCATTCATTCAAAAGACGCCGAAGTTGTGGCGCAGTTGGGAGTTGCACTTCTTAGAACGTTACCAGTCGTGGAGGAGAGAGATCCAAATACTTTCTGTGATAAGGTAATTTTCTATTTGGGACAACTAATTAAATATAACTGAATTAAACACACTAATTCTTCTAATTGGGTTGTTTAGTTGACCAAGTATGACGATGTGCTTAAAAAGATTCTATTCACTATGGACTTCTCCAGCAGTTCTGCGGAAAAGAAAGAGTGGTTAATTCATCTCGAGAAGTTTATCGAAAAAATGGGTCATGCCAGTATGCATTGGGTCGACAGGATTAACTCAGTGCTGCTCGGCTTCGCGTCTTCGGGAAATTGCAAGGAATGGGTTTTAATCTTGAAGGTTAATTTGATAATTTTTAATATTGAAGGATAAATTCTTTTTATGTACATAATGATATAGGAATAATGCATTTCATGCATTACAGGTTGTCCAAGCGTTGATAAAGAATACATGGATGAAACCCAGCTTACGAGATTGGGTACAAATCATGGTCAAGATCCTCTTCAACCAAGGCGTCGCTTCAGCATTGTCAGCAAAAACGGAAACACCTGACAAGGCTGAAATGGCAGAAATATATTCAAACGTGCAATCCTGCTTCCAACTCATGTCCAAATGTGAAGACTTTCCTTCACTTCAGTCAGACTTGCGGCACTTGGTGAAAACAATAGAAGAACACGGCAAGGACAATTTGTACCAGACCAAACTTCTCGAGGAATTAGATAAATGTGAAATACGGACATTTTTGTAAGCTGTACAAACTATTTATTTATTATTAAATGAAATGACTCGCCAAATCATATACATAATAATAAGTTATAATAGTAGATTGATTTATGTTTTATACGAAGTCGAGCAATAATAAAAAGTACAATAACAGCATTAACAACAATGTATGTATTTACTATGTGTCGAATGCTGAATAAGAATGAGAATGTCTGGTATTTATGCAAAGTCAATCTCCCCTAAATATATCTGCTTATCCACTCCGGCCGACATTACTGGAAGAAACAAGTTATTTCCTCAATTTTAAAACAAATGTTGCATAATATATTTTATGACTTTGACTTACAAATTGGCTCTGTAGGGTGTAAATCCACAGACGTTACAGTTCCCTCGTGACCTGGCAGCCGATACTGAATCTGTCGGGTATGTGTGTCCCAAACATAAACAAATCTGTCCGCACTTCCAGATGCAATCCGCTGTCCATCCTTGGACCAAGCGCAATTTAACAAGTATTTTTCAAATCCGTGTGAATGACCTGTTATACGATTGGCATAATTAAATAATTAAAATCAAGCTTGTACTATATCTTTTGTTGGCATTGTTGGTATTACTCACCACTAAAAACTTTCATGCAACGATTTTCAGGAGCAAACGGACGAACGTCCCAAACTCGGAGAGTATTATCCATCGAATTGCTCAAAATGTAGCTGCAAAGTTTTGTTGATAATTTTGATCATTCACGTTTACTTATAATAATAACTTGAATAATTTTGTTACCTCCCATCCGGTGACAGTTTCAAACACGTAATTGTATCCTTGTGCCCCTGCAGACTTTGTGCAACACTCGCATTTCTCAAATCCCACATTTTAATTTCATTATCAATCCCACCGGAAATGATTTGTTCCTGAGCATAACAATGGTGAAATTAAATTAGAACCTCATGTGTTAATTATTGTGGATTTTCAGGGGCTACACCTTACCTGATTTTCTCCAAATGAAACAGCAGTCACTTGATACTCAGAGTTTAAATTGATGACGGATCCTTTACGTCTCACATCCCAGACACGAACTTGACAATCGTCACTACCGCTCACGACAAACGGTTCGCCTTTCTTGGTTTCGCCGACAGCATTTACAAACTTGGTATGACCCTTCAATCTCTTTATTCTCGACCCAGTAGCAACATCCCAAACGCCTACGGTCTTATCGATGGACGCCGTGTAGAGCGAAGTCCCATCGTAGTTGAACGTTAGATCAATTATCGTGCCACGATGGTTGGGTTGCATAATTGCGTTCTCACATTCGCCATATGTCTTCCAAATGTCTGGAAGTGTCATACTTTGTTATATTTAATTCTGTTAATCCGTCGTAATTTCATAATTACATTTCTACACTTACAAACTCCTCTTTCTGCGCCAGCCGAAGCGACAACATCACCCTTTGGACTGAATCGAGCCGCTAAGATTTCGTCTTCGTGACCTTCCAATAACATAATTGGTGAAAGTAGAGATGACGTACGAGCTGGTTTTGAACCCTGTTAAAGAACCAAAATCATGATTATCGTTTCAATGGCAAATAAAGTTCAAAAGCATAATTCTACCAGTTACCGAATTTGGATCATATTCGATAACATCCGTTCGCGACTTTTTAGCCGGTACAAGTTCCATATCTGCGCCGCGTTTAAGTCCGCCTTGTGGCAGTTGGGGTCCTTGTTCCATTGTGGCAGGCGTTCAATTGGTGTATAGTCGGTTATAAATTTTCGAAGTTTAACTTTATTTTAATTTTCACAAAAATTAAATAAACAATCCTTTCAATTTGTCTTTCGGAAGAAATGCAACTCTGCTGCTTTTAAGAACGCCGGATTTACTTGTCTCATTTCACCCGACTCATCTTATGTACGTTGATGCTGTTTCATTTTTCATGAAAATGAAAAGCAGGATTTTTAGGAAAATTTTTAATGACTGCGATATAATTTTTATTACGTAATAATAATATTTGTTAATTAACAAGTATGGTATCATATTGATACTGTTAAAGTTTAAGGGCACTGTTACATATATTGCGATATTTTACATAATATTTGTAAATATTTGTGCGTGAAATTATATATCGATTGTTAATGATAAAACATACACAATTATGTACATGGGATTTTAAATTTCAATAATTTCTACAGTATTAACTAACTCGTAAAGCAATCTTTTGTAGTCCATGCTTGTCGAGCCTTCATAACTATTTTAGCGGTACTATCTGTACCTTTCAGGATGTGGCTTTTCTGGATGTTCTCCAAATCCAAGGGAAGCCTTGACGTGTTTGTAAACCTGGGAATTCAAATGAAATATTACGAGCAAGAACTCAATTAATTATGAATTTACCGAAATAAAATTTACCGTAATTGCCGGAAATTCTCTTTTCTCATCCTCTCTGACAAAAGTTTTGTTATCCTGCAATTTCCACCATGCATACTGCGACAATCCGAGACCAGAGATCATCACAACTGCCATTAAATTCCGTTGGACAAATTCTCTTGCACGACCAAGTGTCGACATTTTCGAGATTTATTCTGTGTGAAATTTATTGAAATCCTCCAGGCCAGACTCGGAGCTCGGTTATCCCTCTCGGTCCGAATCGCAGTTCAATCCACCTAAATTACATGAACGCAACTTAGAATGCAATATTTACATTATTTCAATAAATACAAGATGCAAAATAACTTTACTTACTTTTGTGTTTTGTAACAAAAACAAAATGCGAGTTGAAGATAACTTTTTGCTTCATTCGCGCTGAACAGGTGTGGGTTGACTCATTCCAGTCGCTGTTGACACAAGTATTACAAAATATGAAGTAGTAATGTTCAGTTTTACTCAAATATTTAATCGTTTAATTAAATATTGTTAATGGAACAATGAATATTGGGTTACGCACAGAATATTAGGACTGACGGTGACGTTTGGCTTGTGGGTGGGTGCCAAGTTGGTGAGACTGATTAAAGGGCAAAGGGCAGGGTCGGGTTTTCTTTGAACCGTGGTTACGAATAATTAATAAAGGTAAACAAAATTTAAATATTGGTTCAATTAATGTAACCTACATACAATCGTACATCGTAATTTTAAGGTGCAAACCAAAGCTTTGAAGTAATAAGGGATCATTTGTTGGTTTTCTTCAGATTTTCAGCCAACTTGTTGAAGATTTTGTCAAGAAAGTCGACATTTCAAAGACGTCATCAATTTGTGATTGAAAGAAAATCAAAAACGATACGATGGATCTTGACTCGCCTCGTGAACAAGTCATGCTCAATATTTACGACATGGTTAGTTCGTTTCCATTTAGGTGTAATTTGTAATTGGGAAGTTAACAAATCTGGGAGCTCATGCTCGAACGCGTCGTTAGCTTAGCGACGTCGTAAAAATTAGCGACACATGCTCAAAATAATTTTTAGCGATGTCGGTATTGCTAAGGAGCATGTGTCCTTAGCACTTGTCGTTAGTAGCGACACCGACGTATGCTCAAAACTTTGATTGTCGGTAAGACCTTGGAATTTGTCGTAAAAGTTTTCGACGCCTAAATAGCTATCGAAACGAGATAAATTTGTCGTAATTTGCTGTTAATTAGGATCCGTTCATATATTATGTAAACATTTTATGAGGGGAGGGGGTCAAGAAGCTATTGACGATTGTTGACGAGGGATTGGGTATGTTGGTTTGCATATGTTGATGCCAACTTTGTTTTGGGCAAATTGAGTCGCTGGATTGCGAAATTCTTAATGAGTTTCCGCAACTCAGCTCAAACTCATTATTGTTCAAATCACTCATTTTGAAACGAGTCGTTTGAAATGAATTGAATGAATGAAATGAATTGACTCAAACTCAATTCAACTCATCCTCAGCAACTCATGAGTCAAATGCGTTGACTCGAACAGTTCGAGTCGAACTCATTGGCAGTCCTAATCGAGAGAGATCGAAGGAAAAAAATATAATTATGCGGCGGTTACGTGCTTATCAAAAATGAGATTTATGAATTTTTAGATAATTCGCAATTTTTTCGCAATTCGCAATTTTTCACAGTAAATTTGCTTAAAAATTAATTGGAAAATTTTTTCAAAACGATTTGTTTATAGTATAAAAATTTAGCCTTAGATTAAAATATCAAAGTTGCATTTACCCTAAAATTAATTATAGACTAATTTTAAATTTTGTACACTCAATATTAAGAGGACCCGTATTTTTGCATTTTTCTGAATACCCGTTTTAGTCCGTAACGGAATTTTCAAACAAATTTTAAGCTAAAATCTTGATTTTGTAAATTCTATAACTTTTTAAATTATGACATAATTTTAAAAACTCGAAAACATGTCTGCTCACAATGACTTCCCCATTTTACTTGAGAATTTTCTTGGATAGTTTGACAAGTTATTATAAGTGGGTTGAAATTTTATCCCACTCCTACACCTAAAATAAAGTGGTAGTAAACGTAAGAACATAACTCCTCAGTTACCAAGATCGTTGTGAACCACTCCCTTAATCGGAAATGGATTACAAATTTTAACGATTTTTTTTCGACAATGTCGTTAAACTCATAACGACAACATTTTCCGACGCCTTGACGACAAATGATGAGCATACGTCGTTATCAAGATTATTTGACACTTTATCAATCTATAAGGGTAACTAGGCACTAAATGTCAAGCAATCGTGCGTCGTTATAATTTGTCGTTATTAAGGCGTCGTTAATTTACGACGTCGGTAAGTTAAGGACGCGTTCGAGCATGAGCTCCCAATTAATTGGATGTATTTAAATTTTGCAGTTTTGGACGAACCAATACACCTCCATGCTGGGAATGGGGGTGTTTCACACTGGGATTGAACTTTACGATACCGAATTTGCATATGGCGGACATCCTTACGAGTTCTCTGGAATTTTTGAAATCACACCAAAAGACGCAGAAGATTTAGGCGATCATTACAAATACAAGTACTACCTTATTTGGCCAAGCTCATTACAGTTCATTTGACTAAATTTTATTTTGTGACAGAGAAACCATTGTTTTGGGCTATACAAGTTTCACAAAGGAGGAAGTACAACAAGCTGTGACACATTTGGGAAGAGATTTTAAAGGAACCAATTACCACTTGATGAACAAAAACTGCAACCATTTCTCTGGAGAATTGTGTCAAGTATGAAGAAAATAAATAAATAACCTAATCTTATCCTAATTTTATCTAATTCCTTCTTTTTTTTAATGATGTAGCTCCTTTGTGGCCAAGAACTTCCCAACTGGGTTAATCGTCTCGCCTATGTCTCCACATGCATTCCATTCTTGGAGAAATGCATCCCGAAAGATTGGTTGACACCTTGTGCCCTTGATGAATCCGTGAAACTCGCAACTTCTGCATCAGGAGGAAATAATCCAGGTCAAGGGTCATCCAATCCTTCCAGCTCTAGAAACAGTCTTGTCGGTGGTGCTGGTGCCACTTCGTCTGGTGGTGGTATGACATTCTGGGAAATGATTCGAAGCGGAAACGGAAACGGAAACAACGCTACGGGTTCAGCTTCTGGATCAACCTCACCTCCACCTTGTTCCAGTGGGGGAGGAATCGTGGCCAGTTTTCTAAATTCTTGTAACGGGGGTACAAGAAAATCTTCCACATCTTCAGAATCCAGCCTTCCACCTCCAATCACACAGTCGTCACAATCTCTAACCCGGACGGATAGTTTAACCTCAACAGATTCAAAGACGGGATTACTACAAAGATCTTCAAAGTCTTCTTTTTAAAATTGTTCACAGAGAAAGAATTGTCGTCTCTCTAAACTTCAAATTTTCATCATCAAAAATTAAATCAATCATCAGCCTATACAAAAACCAACTCGAAAGTATACTTCCAAAGTTTCACTACCAAATCCTACATGTGTAAAGTAATTTAAAATCCATGTCAAATATCTCACCTAATGTTATTTACAAGGGATTGATAAAATCTATTCAATGTCCGTGAGTGATTCAAAACAGTCAGATGAAAATGAGTGATTTTATATTATGTTTAATGTCGTTCTACATATTTACCATAAATTATAGTAAATTATTATTGCGTCGAGTTCTGTTATTAATAATTATCTTTTTGCACTAACTAAAAATGTTGTTTTTAGTTTCATTAATTTTATATAGAAAATTCTTATTTTTTCTGAATATATATTTAATATTTAATTTCACTTCAGGTTCTTTTATATGCTATGTTTGTCTATTCGTTACAAAACGTGATGCGTGAGATTCAGCTAAAATCCTTCATTACATTAACTAACTAAGTATATAAAATTATACATGTGAATTGCAGCCGTATTTTTGCCATCGGATAATTATTATGATTTATAATTACTTATTTTACTCTTGCCGTTATTATTCAATGAACATAAAACTAAATATATAATGTGATGATCAAACATAAACGTTGAAAACGTGCATTCTTATTTTCATAAAGTAGTCATCTTTTATTTTCTATGTTTATTTTGACAGGTGGACACGACTTGTAATTCTTATGAGTAAATGCATAGTTAGTTTAACACACGACGCGATGACCTCTACCATAATTAGAGTAAATGTGTAAGACTATGCGTGAATATACGTAAAATTGCATAAATAGTAATAATTATCAAGACATACAAAATCACAAAACTTAAATTTCAAATGAATTCCTTGACTGGATTGGACTCTGTAAGTTGACCGATGCTTACATCCAATACAGTAGCCAAATAACTGATAAGGTACCTTGCGTAACTAAAAGTAAAAGTAGAGAAGATCCACCTACTACGTAATATTTAAGCTAATTGTTTTTTTAAAATTACCTAGTTAATTAAACAGTTAAATTCAATCAAATGGATAATCTAGCAGTTATCTTCCTGATCAGAGCTACTATGTATGCCAAACTATTGAAAAAGAACAAGAACATTTGAAATACCTACGGAGGTACAATTACTAATGATGATAACATAAGTTCAGATAACTTGTAGAATAAAGCTACTTCATGAACTATTGTTAATTAAAGTTTCGAACCGGATTCTTCTTGGGATTCAGTCTCACAAGTTTCATGGCGTTCTATTCATACATATTATGCATAAATTTATCGGATCGTACTTGTCTAAATTTTAAATTTAACATAAATTATGGCCAGGTTAAATTACAATATCCAATTTGATTAGTGCTGTAAAATAGTACTGTACAGGTCCATATTTCTTCCAACACAACTAGGTCAACTCACACCAAGGTTATTAAAAAATCACAACTAGTATTCTTCTACATATATTGCAAAATAAATATTTAAAAATCGTGGCTTAATCTGAAATTAGAGTAGGTTTTCAGGATGAATCAGGTAACACTGTTCTGTTTTTGTTTAGCTTTGGACACATTTCAAGGATTCGAACTTATCAAATAGGCGGATTAGAGATTATATTTAAATAGCAAGTGAGACGAGGTTAATAAAATTGGAACGTATATCGTCAAAAAGTCGAAGTCACTTGATTAAAAAGTCTAAAATCGTAAATTGCATAAATGTACATACTTATTATTACGTCATCAGGTGTTAATCAAAGATGATAATTAAGGGTAATATATATAATTGAGTCTGAAGTCTTTTCATTTTCCTCGTTCAAGTCCTTCTCGTGTTCTACTCTGTATGAAGAGGGAATGTATCGTTTTCATGGGGTATCTATTTTCATCATGTAGAAAGTCCTATAAATCGTTTTCCATCCGTCGTCACTACTTTCCCGACAAAGATTAAAAACAGTACGAGCAATGAAGCGTTATATCGTATGTATACATTGAAGTGGATTATTTCAAAAGTCTGAACGCGAAGAATATTCTGTTTCTACGTCAAAAAATATCTAATTATTCTGTCTAACTTCATATATTACTCTGCTGGCCTGGATCGATTTCTTAATCGGCGTCATTCCTACGGGCTGTTGTTACAATAGAATAAAATATACGCCGCAGGTGTGGTCACATCTCTTGAATTGAGTTGAGAAACTTCTTGATCATCAAATCTCGCCCATTGGCTACAAAAGGAAAATCATATATTATAGAACCTTCAACCAATACGAAGAGTACGCCCTTGCTTACCTGTTTTTTCTACAGTATGCTGTATAATGTCCACCATCCATACTTCCGTAATGGTTTGATACTGCCTGCAACATGAAATTAGACCGAGGAGTGCGACCCTCCGGCGTAAGCGGGGAACCCTTAACTCGAGAAGTTAGGTCAAGATTATCCACGGGAAAATCGACTTCTGTCAAACGCTTTTTCCACCAACCATCATTATAAAATCTGCAAAAAATGATTTCCATTAAATTCGAATTGGATTTGTATGTTTAAATTCGTAATATAAACTAGCTATCAAATAATGTATGTGGTACACACCTTTGTAGGTGAATTATCAAATATGGTGGCATTCTCCAAAGGTCGATCTTCTTTGTAGCTTTCACAGTTGATTTGCAATGGGGGCAGTTCCATCCTGACACAACTTCTTCGGTGGTATACAAGTCAATGCATTGCTATAAAAGTAATCAATTTTAAAAGTTTAAGCTGTGAAAACCTTCAAGTAAATCGGACTTAAGAATTAATTGTCATACGTAAATGTCCACTTTTCGATTATTTATACTTGGAATAGGCACCGTTAAATTAAAAAATGACTCAAAAGTGACGGATTCTTTCCCACAAGAGAGACATCGAAGGGCTGATTTCTGCTGACCACAGAATAAGTCGACAATTCTTGAACAATTGGAGTCCTGTTTAATAAAGATAAAACACCATTAGCATCCTTTTTAAAATTCATTTAACTTAACTGATCTGAACAATAACTTACTGTGTAATCGTGCCAGGCCTTATTCGCTGCCTCTTTATCACTTAATCCTTCGTTTTTTTGCTCATTCAATTTCATTTTGGGAACCTAACCAGACAAGACGAAAATTAAATTTAAAAAAATTATGACAATACAAATGTCTAAACAACAAAACTTATCAACAATTGTTTTTGACTCACCATATTCAATTCTTCGTGCAACCAATCCAATAACATGGTCAAAAATTCATGCGAATCTTGTTGGTCATAGCCTCTAAAAGTGGGGGCATGACGTCCTACGTTATTCTACAAAGTATACAACCAAACAGTGTTATCAAAATTCTCTGCCCATCTTAATAGTGTCATCTCACTTTAAAGTCCATAATAGCTATTGAACGATGCCCGTAATTCATCTCTTGCACAACAGCATGAAATTCGATACTGACTTCTCCATTGGACAACTGTTTCTGTTTTTGAGGTCGATGGAGTCCAAGGTGGTGTCTGTAACAAAAAATATGCATTATTAATCATAACACCAATCGTATTCATGCGATAGGACTTTAATGTTGTAACATTAAAATAAATTCCACTCACTTCCACGTTTCACCCATAAAATATGACACTACTCCTGGCAAATGGACGAGACATTGGACAATTGAATTCATATAACAAGTATTTCCAAGATTTTTTAGTCCGGTGCGGTGTTTTTCGGTCTATACAAAAAAATAGTTAGATACTTTTAAGATGAAGGCATTAGATTGGACAGTTGTAAAATGTATTCTCTTTTACTTACACTATTGACTGCATGAAACTGTCTCGCTCTACTGGGCTGGACTATTAAATCTGACGGTCTGCTATTCGCTGACGGTTTCAAGTTCCGGTTAAATTGTGGGTGAAGTGTAGCACTGCCTCCATCTTGACTAAAGGCTTGATCTTCCTCACTCAAAGACTGCAAGAATATTCAAATTTCTCCAATTATATGTCCGATCAGCCAACTTGAGACCGTTATATTTACGTACATATACACGTACCTGAGCAATATTTGGATGGGAATGCGATCTTTTCAGTAACGATCTCGGACTCTCGGACGTTGGTTCATCTCTAAGTTTTTGAAATGAAATTGGAGTTGCATCTTGTGACATTGGTCTTAACAGAGTATTAGCAGATTGTGTCCCCTTCACATCCGAACTACCTCCATGGCCATTCGAAATTGTTGCTTTGTTTAAATTTGGGAATGTCGTGGTTGATTCAGATTTTCCTACCCTAGACCGAGACAGTGGTCGTGGTGAGTTAGAACCTGATCCAGGAATGGGTGGTAATTTAGTATTATCGATTGTTGCATTAGCACGAGCATCTTCCACTTCTTTTCTTTTTGCACGGATTTGACGAACATAATCCTCCAGTTCTGCTTTTTCCTTGAATTTAGAATCAATTGTAGAGTCTGTCAAAGTTGGGCGAATTTGTGGGAGTGATGGTTTACTCCGAAGGGCAAGGAGGGCGTCATACTCGGCTTTTACGTTGTTCTAAATACAACAAGAAACAATGGGGTGAATTATTTCAGATTTCAGGTCTCAAATTTAGATTTTAAATATCTTACCAAATTTGCATCCTGACTTTTTACAACTTTTTGCAGCCGTTCAATCTCGTCCTCTTTCAGTTTCAACTTTTCCCTCAAACTGTTGTCATTGTATTCTCTTGTGGAATTATTCATAATTTCCTCCAGCTCTTGTTCCTTCACTTTTAAATCTTTCGAGCTAATTATTACATTGTCTAAAGCCGCATTTAATGCAGCCACTTGAACATCGGTCGCATCTCCGTTTGCACTTCGAGAACTGATCCCATTCTCTCTAGGTTCCGCTATGGAGGATGACATTGTACCGTTATTTGGACCATTTCTATGCTGAGTAGGAACATAAATATTGTTGTTTGGAACATTAGTGGTGGTTGCGGATGCAGACTTTGGCTTCGTGGAGCGATCAATTGTTGCCGAAGTGGGCGGGACTGGAATGCTGTTATTGTTTCCCGAATATTTATTATTAAACGTAGGACCGGATAAATTATTTAGTTTTTGACTGGGTGTCGAAGCTGGTCTGGACGTGTCTATATTATTCAAAGGCTTGTTATTTGATGTAGTTTCATCATCATCCGGAAAAGCCGGGTATGAAATCGAGTCAAGTGATTTAATCTCTTTTTTTGACAAGTTTCCATTTACAGCTCCATCTCCATTTTCCTCGTACAGGCCGATATCAGAGACCATATTTTGTGGATGGGTCATCAGCGTCGGGTAAGAGTAGTACATGCTTTTGCATCCTCCTCGTAATATTGCAGGTGGAGATTTATATATCGTTTCGTGATCCCACTGTAAGAAATAAAAGTTTAGCCTTGTCCAAAATTTCAGTTTAGTTCATAATTATAAGTTAACTAACTAAGTTACTAAGTCTCACCTTCGTCATTGCTGTGTATAAGGTGGCAAGACTATTATCCTTTTCCTGCACATTTTCTGACCAACTTGTATTCCAATCATATAAAATTACTTTGTCGAACATGCCTCTTTTATTCCAATGGTGATAGGATTCAGGATATTTTTCTTTCAATTTTGATTCTATTTTGTTGGCCGACATTCTATGAAACAATCAAATAATTATTATAATAATTAGCTCAAACTTAGTTAATCTGTGAATTAAAATCCTACCCTGGTTCCAACACTTCTTGCGGGATACTTATGCAATTAGGATGAGTGACATGGCTTGTCATGAAGTCATGCTTTCCACGACAGTCAATTACTAAAATGTGGGTGGCCTTCTGTTCAATCAAATTCTTTAACTGGGTCACTGAAATGTTTTGCTCTTGTTCTTCTTTCACTTCTAATTTAATCACGCCGTTAACGTGAGGTTTTGCTAAATTCTTCTTTTTCAGCTCCTCCTGTGCAGTTGCATCCTTAATTTCTTTCGCTTTTAACTTGGCATCATCTTTACTAGCCAAATTAAGGAGTTTATATCGCTCAGTAAGACTACAGTTAAGGGCTTCACTTTTTATCACGGATTCGCGAAGGCAAGCGTCTGTAAGACTGTCGTAATATTTGGTATCATCCGAGTATCCTTTCGCCTTCTTGATGCCCATAATCAATGTGGCGGTGCGCATGTAGTAAATGTAGGCTTGTTCTTCATCTCCCAAGTCCAGTGATTTCTTAGCTTGGGTAGACAATGTTTGTGCGCTTTGCAGAAGACTAGAAAGAGCAAATGAGATAAGCATAATTTAGATAAGTATATGACAAATTTTCACATTAAAATGGTGATTTAATGTACCCCTTGGCTTGAATATTATTTTTTTGACTTGTCGGAGTGTCCACCATTTTATTCAGGTCGCCCATACAAGTACAAAGATGAATGGGTTTCAATTTCTGACGATGAGCCATTATGAATTCTTTTGGATTGGTGATCGAGAGGAATCGAATGTTACAATCTATATCAAGTAGTTATTGATTAAGTTACTATTATATAGTAGTGTATTTAATAAATTTGTGATCAATTTACCTCACATTAGTTTGCAGCGACAAATTAAACCTTTAGTTAAATAGGGACAAATATTTTGAATATATTCCTGCTCGAACTTCTACGTTCAGTTCAGAGTTTGCAACCTATATTAGCTCTGAGCTGTTGCACCATAAACATTACTCAGGTTTTACATTGACTTTGACAAATCGCTAATTGACGCCACTTATAATTTCACGACATCATTTATTAAAACAATAAAATTAGTTCCCTTTCCTCATCTAAACGATATTTCCACCATCTTCTCGATCGAACTACCTAATTTTATTATTGCGATGAGTTTCACTTGTTTACCTTAATGTTACTTTAACTAATTAAATATTTCGAAACATTTAAATTAAACGAATTGATAAATTTGAAGTCGAAGTATGAAGGAAGTTGTTTATTTGATTGTTTTCCCTTTTTCGGTTGACTCCTCAAAGTTGATTTGAACATTCCCGGGCTAGTCATTTGTCTCCTTATCCACAAGTTCGTTCCGGGAGCATGAAAATAGAAACAAATCTTGTAAAAATTAAAATTTGTAATTTGTAAAATCAAAATCGCAATCCGTGCAAAATTTTGCAAAATTGGTTAATTACCTATTTCTAATTAGGCGATACATTAATCAAGATTTCGAGAATACTACAATGGATAGTCTTTGGCCCTGAATTTTGGTAAAATATATTCAAGAAAAAATAATGGACTAGCAAATTCATAATTTTTTGAAGAATTTTGAATATTTTCTTAATTAGTAAATTACAAATTGCAATTGCAGAATTATTATCAGAACATTAATTTTTGAGTTCGGAGTGTGGGCTTCAAGTTGAAGCCTTTCAACATTCAGGTAAGAATAAAATGCATTGATTTTAAATTTTTGCCATTCTAAAAAACTTTGAATTTTATAGATAATTTGACATTCGTCATCTCATCATGATCCCTGAACCAGCAAGATACTTGAGGCGACCCATGCGATACTACGCCTTGCCACTGGTCATGGTAATGTGCGTCGCCGACATGGCACTTATTTATATGACGAAGAGACAGGCCAACATCGACAAGAGGAGATCCTTCGTTTTCCATCCTGGAAGCATAGTCTCACCTGACAGAACGCCATACTATCCAACCAATTAGTAAATATTAAGGCAATAACTATACTGGTATAATGCTTAGCTTACTCCGTTTAGAATAAATGTTAAGTTTTCAAAAAATCATAACAATGTTGAATCGCAACATTTTTTACTGGTAGTTTATTACATTGACCTTTTCCTTAAATGAAATTGTTACAAAAATCTGGGCTTAAAAATTCACCCCTCCGTAATTATTTCTATAAAGCATTATTATCGTTTCGTAATCAACATCTTAGCAAAAATATCCTACTCAAATTTAAATATTTATACTTTCTGTTATACGTCATACCTTTTGGCGTTTCCATAAATGAAAAATTTAAGCGTAATTTAAACGATCCATATAAAATAAAACATGCAAAAAGAAAGACAATAGAATTATCGAGGGACACAGACGTATACAGAGGAAGCAAAAATTGCATTTAGTACATGTCTTCCTTAATAGTCTCCTACATAGAAATCAACAGTACATCATATAAATAAAATAGCACATGTGATAAGTATTAAAATACAATAAATTTAGCATATAAATAAATGCTACAGTTTCGACAATTATTAGTATTGTACAGTAGATATGTTGTAAATATGATATGTGGATAGAGCTTAAGTACACTTGTTGGAGTTTCGTAATTTTAATGTCTCGTCCAATGGTTCTTATCTTGCTATTATTTCTTTACGTGGGACGCGCCCGCTTGTTCAGCATGGTCGAACCGACTCCTTGTCTGCATCGGTCTGCAATATCTTCTGCATTTTCATCGTAATGGATGGAGCGATTCCTAAATGGGGAAGAGGTCGAGATTCCTACCTGAACAAGGGCGGAAGAACGGCGTTTCTTGGGAGAAATGGGTGACTCTTGACGGAGAACTTCTACATCATTAAAGACGACTTGTGCACCGCCGCCCACCGTCCCCATAACGTCGCCCTGCATAGCACAGTAGTTTTACATTCACTCTTTCAAATACAAAACATATCATATATCAAGAACAAGATAAGTACCTTATAAAGTCTGGTTTCGATTTCACCCTCTGAATCTTGCTCTGCAGTTCTCAAACAGTATTTTGACGCTTTGCTTGAAATATCTTCGACATTTGTCAATTTTGTGACTGATTTCTTTTTCTTCATGCAAGGTTGCATTACAGTTCCTTCCTTGGTAGCGAGACCGGTGACATGTTCTATCCAAATGTCTTGATCTGTAGAGCGTGCTCGGGGGCGATGAGTGTTTGGAATACCCAAAGCCTTAAAACAAAATAAATATATAGTAATTCTAAATATTTCCGGTTAATTCTAATGCAGTTACTGAGTTACAATTGATTACCTTTCGAGTCTGTGCAATGCTAGGCCCACTTGGGGGAGCGGATGGTGTTCTAGTCCTTACTCCACTATTACGAGCTCTCGTTACTGCCGTCATATCGGGTTCTGAGCTAGTAGACGACAAACTCTCTTCCAATACTCGATGTCTGGATCGAGAAGAACGTCTCGTAGCCTCTGTAAGGTCCACGCTGCTCACGAGTTGACGAACTTTAGCCAAAGTTTTGTCTTTCTCTCTGAATTCAGCCTGTCACAACAAACAATTTTAACAGTAGTAGAAATAGTCATTACCTTGATATGTACAGAATTAACAATTTAGTATTTAATTATTTACCTTCATTTTCCTCTCTTCTCGTAGACTCTGTCGCTGTCTTTTTAAATCGCCCAATTCCCGTTGAAGTTCTAGATCCGATTTTAGTGATTGTTTCTCTTTAAAATGTTGCACATCCCGTTGATGGAATTGCATTCGAAGATCGGCCAACTGAAAAAACAATAGTAGCAATTTATCATCATAATTAATATATTTTCATTAAAGATTCGTCACTTTCGATGAACAAACATAAAACTACTCCCACCTCTTCTTCCATCCTTTGAATGACTTTATCCTGTTCGTCGTATTTGACTTGTAACTGATTCTTTTCTTGCATCATTTGTCTCAGGACGGTTTCATTCTTTGTTTTTTCCTCTGACAAAGTCTGGAACTTTATTTTAATTGTGCCGTTCTCATGTTTAAGCGTCTCATTTTCACGTTCCATGGACACGAGCATGGAACGGAATGCTTCTTCTATCCAAATTACAAGCAAACAAAGCAATCCATTATTAATTGCTGAAACGATTCAAATTATACTTCTTTGCACACTCACGCTCATTGTTAATCCTTTTTCTCAACTCATCCTGCCCTTGAAGCCGAATCTCCAAAGCTTTTTTCAGTGTGGCCAAAACCTCAGCCTCATTTGACTTGGTAATGTGACAAATTGGAATTGGTAGATTGAGGAAGACGAATCCAGTATCGGTCTTTGGTAGACCCAATCCTCCAACCACATTTTCTGCTATGAGTTGGCGAACACTTTCTTTGTAAAGCTCGTTGGCCCGGTTTCGTCCTGGAGTTTGGAGATCAACAATTTTCTTTTCCTGCGGCCTAGTGATTTGGACCTCTTGTGCTTGTTCTGCGAAACTGAGAACATGCTGTAAAAAGAGTATGCATTATTATAATAATTTCTTACTTGAAAATGTACAATTAAACCTCGGCCTTGTAACTTACAAAATTCTCATCATAATCCTCTTGGCGTGGATTGACACATAAGATCATTCTAACGCGACCTTCCCCTTCGAAATAGTTCTTAAGGAAATGAGTCAATTTTGAATCTCGAAATGGAACTACTCGGCTTGTTCCATTTTGTTGGTTTTCACGTAAAATATCCATACATTTACGCAGGTTCATGAGTGAATTATTGATATTTCCTGCAAAAAAATAAGTGAATAAGTAAATTTTTAATTTTATTAGGATTACAACATCTTCCAAACTCACCAGCCTCTTTGAGACGATCTCCTGTTGCCTGAGTTCTGCAATATCGCTCACTTCCGGCCAAATCAACGAGGGATAGCTGACTGATGAGAATGTTATCTTTATTATCGCTTGCTTCTTCTCCTTCGCTGTCGGATGGTGCCTAAATATGACAACATTCGACAGTTTGATTTAAAAACCATAAAAAAATTAATAATGAATAGATAACTGACCCTAACTAAACGAATATTGAAAATCGAATGACTTCTGCTACTCTCCGTGTTCAACGCGGTATGAGCAATCCGTCTCCGTCTTAGCCCTCTCTGAAATACTTCCACGGCTTCTTCTGGCGACTCCACTTCCACTTCGGTCACACCATTCACATACACGTTTCGGTTGCTCCCTTCCCTCAACATTTTCGACTGGAGAGCAATCTTTTTCCCTGTGTCGATCGGAGTCTCATCCAATAAATCATATACTAGATTGTTGTAGATTTCAATGTGCGTTATGAAAACGGAGTAAAAACAATCAGTTGCTTTCACAGGGACAGAAGTTTCATCCTTTTTACGATGTGTAAAGTTGTCAATATCATTGGCATGATTTCTTGCCCTGAAAATTCATAGTAATATTGACACATTTTCTCGAGTATAAAAAAAAGTATGCGCACCTGGTTCGTGGAGTCCCAATCCGTCCGGATTCCTTTATTTTCTCATTAATTTCCTTCTGTCTCTCGCGCATAGCATCAGCCTTAGACTGGCTTTCAAATCCGTTAAGACGATCAGATTTGAATACGAATTTTGTAGCCTTATAAGCATCAATCGAATTAAAAATAACATCTAAACATCTCGGCATGATTCCACACTCTCTTGCAGTTCCACTCATGGTGTACGTTTTTCCGGACCCGGTCACCCCATAAGCGAATAAGAGGGCATTCTTGCCTTGGATGAAATCCTATATAAAAAAGCAATATTAGATTGTGTAAATATATATGACCACCCACACCAACAATATTATAGCATTGCAATAATACTTACCGCCACCATAGGAAGAGCTACCTCCTCAAAGACTTCTGCTTGCGTCATGGTTTCATGAAAAATTCTGGAGAAAGTATAATGTCCTTCCTTGGCCTGGTTTTGCCTCCAGTAGACCGGATTGTCTGGCGGAAGGAGCGCAATCTCTGTGTCATTCCTAATTTCGAGACATCCATCTCCAACCTCCAACGGTTTGACGCGACAATAGACTTGAATTGGGTCTTGTTCTTGTTTTATCGCCGTAAAAAGTGGTCCAGAGCGGAGACCCGATTTGGGCGTGGATGGAAAATTTCGAGGAGGACCCATTCTCCGAGAGATCGCAGACCCGGGTGTTTTTGCGATAGATAGGTTACTTATGGCTCCCTTTCTAGAGTAGATAATCGCCAAAAATATTTATAAATAAATACTTAAGAAGCGACTGAAAAATATGCCATAAGAAGATGACAACTAGCTCTAACTAAATACTCTTCCAACATACTCAATAGACTTCTCTGGATAATTGATGAAGGTGATTCATCGATTGATTCTAAGAATTCCGTCTTCAACTACCTTTACCTTTCTTTCATCATTCGTCTTTGCATAAATACTAGTACATAACATATACTTACCTATTCGGGGTATACATTCCGACCAACTTTTTAACCTGTTGGACACATCCTGATGGTCTGTCCTGTCTATCCGAGCCTGATCCCGTCCCTTCCGAACCATCCTCCTCATTTAATGCTTTATGACTTCTTTTTCGTCCCATTTCGTGTACTTTGTTTATCGTTCTTCACACACTGTCTCCCAAAATAAAACGAAATTGTTAAACATTGCATTACTCAAAACTAAGTACAAGCCCTCATATGAGGAGGGGTCTTTGACTAATGTGATTTATTGATTTATTCTATGGGTTTAAACTAATAATTAGTTTAAACCCATATTTGATAATTATTATCAAATATTTAACTCAACTACGTGTAGTAGAGCCAGAGAGGTTAAAACTCAGGGTATGATTTAAACTGACCTTAAAAATGATTTCTCCTTCAGTTTATAGATTGAATTATTGATTAATGACGATGCTGAATTGTTCCGGTTGATGTGTTTTATTGTCCAATGTTTCCGAGAAAAAGGCACTTGTCAAATTTTTGAACAGATTTTTGAATGGAATTTATTGTTATGTGTTATGAGAAGTGAATGCGGCTGCCAAAGTGTAACGGTCGTCTGGCCAATATTTTTTGCATCCCTCCAATTCCCCATTGGTCCACGGAAACCCCGCGAGATTTGAACGGGACATTCACTCAAAAAGAGTATGTAATCAAATCACAGCACACATCTGGGAATACATTTTTTAACAAAGTTGTATTTTGAAAAAAAACTTTAGTTAGTGCACATTTAATTAAGGATATTTAGCAACTAATGGACGTCAAAGCTACAAAGAAGCACACGGATAAGGAGAGGTGAGAAATAACAGAAATATTCCATTGCGTAATAAATACTAACAATCCTGTGTTATTATTTTGAAATTTAAGAAATTGATTGCATATGGTATTTAAAATTTTGGCTGAGTTCTTATTTTGTGCTGAGCTCGACATGGTACGAGTATCTGTAGTGGCAAAGTAACTGATAGCCCAAAAGTGTGACTAGGTTAAAAATGTTAACATAACACATTAGTTAGTTTAGATTGTTAATTTTAATTTAATTTAAATGTTAAATGATGATGATGAATGAAATGAATTTTGCAGATGGATTTGCATTTACCCAGCGTATTTAAACAGCAAGAAAACAAGGGCGGAAGGGAGGCGCATTCCAGTAGCGAAGGTAAATGAAATATTAAATCTAATTTAATTAATTTACAAAACCATTATTTAAATATATATGTAAATCGAATGTATAGAATTTGAATTGTGAAATGTTTAAATTTACAGGCTGTAGAAAACCCCAACTATTCAGAAATTCGTGACGTAATAGCAGCCGCAGGATTCGTGGTTGGCGTTGAGAATAAGAAATATTGTAGAGAAAGATCGAACGAACCTACAGTTAGGGGTCGGATTAGAGTCCATTTTCGAAACGATGATGGTTCCGTGATCAACCCAAAATTCCCTTCTCGTAAGAATACAAATAATAGCATATTCCAAGAACGGAGTGCTTACGGTGCTTACATATAAAATAAACAAAATTGTAAGATACTGTTACTATTTCGATTTAGGCGACTCCATTCTCCTGCACTGTGGTGAAATGATTCCAAAATTAAAGTCTCGAACCGACAAATCCACAAAGTCTCAAGAACATGGTGCTGGACAAGCTGGTGGTGGAAAGAAGAAGAATAAAAAGAAGTAAATGGTAGCAGAAGTTCAACATTTTATAATATCTTTGTGTTTGCAACGGTTCAATAATAAAATGCATGCCGTATTTTATCGTTACAAAAATTTGAAATCAATCAATCGTGTCTATAAAAGTTTAAAAATCCATTATCCAACTAGTTTCATACATAACGATAAAAATCATTATGTATAGTGCGTACATAAGTATTTTAATATATTATCGTCAATGTGCATTAAACCCCAATTAAATATAATTAAAACATCTTATTATCAACTGGACTTATTATAATTATACTTGCAAACATTTAAATAAACGTTAGATCACCATAATTCATAAAGTAAAAGTAAAAGTTCCATTCATTCATTTCATGATAAAAATTAGCCAAAGATCATGTTATTTTATTCTCACGTTTACCAGCTTGCTCTCAAATTCCCACAATGTTGAAGGACGAGCGGTTTCGCTTCACTCTTTGTCTTCCGACACAAATCCCACCTTACAAACTCGCATCTCGAGAGTTTTACACGCTCTGCCTGCATCAACAACTTCAAATATTTCCTAAAATTGTTTTCCAATTTGAAAACCTTTACAATTTCATAAAGCGTTGTAAAATTGTGTGTGATCGCGAAATCAAGTCTTCCCGATATTAATATACAATCGCAGTGGTACATATTTAGCATTTATGATATTTCTTTTGTCCCATGAAATTCGAATCGTTAAGTAATTACCTTATTTTCTGTTAAATTTCTTAGCTAAACCGTAACAACAATGAGTGGACGACGTAGCAGCCAACGACGAAACGGTGGTGCTGAACCATCCCCACCACATGCGGCCCAATCTCCCAGCAGTTTGGCCGGTTATGCCGACACGACAGACGACGAAGATGAACCTATGGCGGTGGATGCTGGGACACCAGGACGTCGACGACCTGATCCGGTCACACCACAGAGACGGTCTCGACCTGCGAATGTTGTAACTTCACCAGACAGTTTGGCTGGTGAGGGATATGATAGTTTGTTTGATTTGTAATTATTAATTACATGTAATGTGTAATATTAATGGAAAATTAAACTAATTTTCAAGGATATGCGGATTCCACTGACGACGAAGGGCAAAGGTCACAGGGAAGTGATGTCAGCATTCAACGTCGTCGAGATGGCGGTCGTCGTCGCTTGGCTCGGACTCCGTCGCCAGATGCACGCTTTGTAGAAGACGAAAGGAGTCCGGACGGGATTCGGAGGGATGTCGTACAAAGTGAGGAAGAGTCTGAAGGGGAAGATTTGTTTGGCGACCAAATGGAACGGTAAAGATAAAACAATATGGGATAATATGTAAATGTCTTGATAATGAATAGCAGATAGCATTCGAAATATTGACAAAATAAAGCAAAACTTTTTCTTCGACTTTTCCACTTAACTCCGTGTAATCCAATTATTGGATAATATGTTGTCGCCTCAGTTGCAAGATAATTTATTCCGTTTTTTTAGTGATTATCGCCCAATGCCGGAACAAGATCGCTACGATCCCGAACTTTTGGATGACGATGAAGACATATCTGAGCTCTCGTATGGAGAAAGACGAGAGGTTGAAGCGGAACTGTTACGACGAGATAGGGCTGAAGGGAGGACCACGATGAGGAGAGGTCTTCTTTATGGTGAGTGATTAATTATCTTCTATTCATTACTCAATAAAGAAATGTGCACATTTCTCAAAATTATTTATTTTGTTTATCATTAGATGATGACGATGACGGTCAACTTCATCGTCGACAAAAGAGACGCTTTCGCAAGGATGGGATGGATGAAGATATGGAAGAAGATAAGGATGATAACCAGGTTCGGAGAAAAAATAATTAAACATTTATCTCCTTTTAACGATAAAATATAGTTTGCTTGCAAATTTTAATTTTGGTTTTATAGCTGGAATCTATTGAGAATTTAGAAGATTGTCGTGGTATGCATACCTCCGATTGGATTCAAATGCCTGGGACACGCAACGAAATTTTGAACCGATTTAAAAACTTTTTGCGAACTTTTCTCGATGAAAAAGGCAACCTTGTTTTTCGCGAGAGGATTCGTCGTATGGTGGAATGTACGATAACTACAATTTTGTATTTCAATTAAGGAATTTGATTAAAAATTATGATTCGCAATTTGAAACAGGTGGAAAAGCCAGTATCGAAGTTTGTTACTCTGAGCTTGCCCAAGGGGAACAAACGTTGGCATTTTTTCTCCCCGAAACGCCACAAGAACTCTTAAAAATCTTGGACCAAGGATTAAAAGATGTTGTCGGAGTGCTCTACAAAAATTATAAAGAAGTTAAACAAGACTTTCACATCCGAATCAGTAATCTGCCACTCCTCGAAAATATCAGGACATTACGACAACTTCACCTGAACCAAATGGTACGAAAATATCTAAAGTATTACCTAAATTCGATAGAATTTCAGATTTATATTTCTGCTCTTCATAGATTCGTGTCGCTGGCGTTGTCACCTCATCCACGGGAGTACTCCCACAACTTTCCGTCGCCACATTTAACTGCGCTAACTGTGGCTTTGTACTTGGTCCTTTCGTTCAAACGCAGGATGCTGAAGTTAAACCGACAACTTGTGTCGAGTGTCAGAGAAACGGCCCATTTTCATTAAACGTGGAGAAAACCGTGTATCAAAATTACCAACGGATAGTGATTCAAGAGTCACCAGGAAAAGTGCCGGCTGGGCGTTTGCCTCGTTCTAAGGACGTTATTTGTCAGGGAGATTTGACAGACTTATGTAAACCTGGGGACGAGATTGAAGTTACGGGAACTTACACCAACAATTATGACGGCTCTCTCAACGTGAAACATGGTTTTCCCGTCTTTTCAACCGTCATCTTGGCCAACCATATCGTCAAAAAGGATGATCGTTCTGCAGTCGACCACTTGAGTGATGAGGACATTCGTGCCATTCAGGCCCTTAGTAAGGATGACCACATTGCGGATCGAATCGTGGCCAGCATTGCTCCTTCAATCTATGGTCATTACGATATCAAACGGGCACTGGCACTCGCCTTGTTTGGAGGAGAGGAGAAAAATCCTGGCGACAAGCATCGCCTCCGTGGTGACATCAACGTGCTCCTCTGTGGAGACCCGGGCACAGCAAAGTCACAATTTTTGAAGTTTGTTGAGAAGGTGTCGCCTCGTGCTATCTTTACGACTGGACAGGGCGCTTCCGCTGTCGGATTGACGGCTTATGTGCAACGCTCTCATCTCACCAAGGAGTGGACTTTGGAGGCTGGTGCATTGGTTTTGGCTGATAGAGGGGTCTGTTTAATTGACGAGTTTGATAAGGTGAATATTCTTTAAGTTACACTTTATTAGAGAATATCAGCTATTAATTAGTTCTATTTTTTAGATGAACGATTCTGATCGGACCAGTATTCACGAGGCTATGGAACAACAAAGCATCTCTGTCTCAAAGGCTGGAATTGTCACCTCGCTTAAGGCTCGTTGTTCCATCATCGCTGCTGCAAATCCTCTCGGAGGACAGTATGATTCCTCCATGACGTTCTCTGAAAATGTAAGAATTTGTTTTGTGGTGTGTGTTGAAGTTGTTAAACCTGCACTAAAAACTACTTATATCACTTGAGTTTAGGTGGACTTGTCTGAACCAATTTTGTCTCGTTTCGATATTTTATGTGTCGTACGAGATACACCTGATCCCGAACAAGATGAACGCCTTGCCCGATTTGTGGTCAATTCACATATGCGACATCATCCTGGAAACAAGCGGCGAAATAATAGCGAAGATGGGTCTGATGAGGAGGATGAAGTTGAAAGTGTTAGCGAACGGGTGGGCACTCCCACAAATGCAGATAACGATGTAAATAAATAGTTTAGAATAAGGAATTCATGAACTCTGTTGTTACACCATTAAAATTCTTTAATTTTTCAGGATGAGCCACTCGCCCTTGATGACGCTTCTCCGAACGCAAATGTGGAAAAGATCCCACAGGACTTGCTCAGAAAATACATTGTCTATGCAAAGGAGAAAATAAAGCCCAAATTATATTCGAATCAAATGGATGAAGAGCGAATTGCCAAGTTATATAGTGAACTTCGTCGCGAGTCCATGGTAAGCCGCATATAAATGGACATTTTTATTTTTGATGTCCACAAACCACTAATTAATTTTTGTTACTTATTATTTATATAGAACACTGCCAGCATTCCCATTACCGTACGTCACATCGAGTCTATGATTCGTATGGCTGAAGCTCACGCAAAAATGCATCTAAGGCTCGCCGTTATTGACGATGATATCAACATGGCAATTCGAATCATGCTCGAAAGTTTCATTGACACACAGAAATTCTCTGTGATGAGAGTTATGAGAAAAGTAAGTGGTGGATTTATACTCTATTAATAATCTTATATAGTACCTTGAATAATTTTACAATTTATTTTTGTTAGCAATTCCATCGCTTCCTCTCATTCAAGAAGGATAACAATGAATTGCTCTTTTTCCTCTTGAAACAAATGGCTAATGAAAATGCAGCCTACTACCAATCCAAGTACCGATTAACTCAACCCGTCGAGATCAGTGAAAAGGACTTTATAGAAAAGGTGAAAATTCTTGACAATAACAATTTTGCCAACATTCATGATCTTCTTTTAACATTATACACGTAAAATTTACAGGCACACCAGATCAATCTGCACACGGTTAAGCCATTCTTCAAGAGCGATATTTTCATTAAAAATCATTTCCAGTATATTCCTGCTCGTAAAATGATTGTTCAGATCGTCCCCGACGAAGAAGATTAATTTGAACTTAACACAACTTCGATTTGGCAGTTAAATGTTTCTGATATTGTTTTTTTTTATTTATACAAACATATGCTTATTCAATGTGATTTGGTTATTTGCAGTTATTTACATGTTCATAATAATTTTAGAACTTATTCATTAATAAGTAAAATAATATGCGATGCAAATTCCTTGATTAGTTTTCAATTTACATTTTTGCTTCGTTAATCCAGAATAACTACTTTGACACGAGTACAAATGAGTGATTAAAATTTTCACGTTGTAACAATTATGATCTTAAAATAAACGTCTTCTGTAACACTGAGTTAACATTGTTGAGAAAATGATACATCGCACAAAAAAATTGCGCAATTCTGTTATATAGTCAGTCCAAGTTAAGTTATATAACTAATTGTTTTTCTGTGGCTTGTGAAGTATCTCATTATTAGTGAGAAGCTTGTGCAATAATTGATGTTCGGAACGAGATGATCTCATCCAGCCAGGTCCAATGTTTCTAGAGTTAAGATGGTCTCTATGCACCGAAATCATTAACTGATTGGTAGTACGACTATGTAACCAGCATACCATTTTTTTTACTACGACTACAACTACTGTCATTAAGATTCATAAATTATTCAAATTAATAAGACCATCCCCCTGAATTTACCTACACGTGCAGCATTTTACATTTTCTAGTTCTAGTTCTCCAACCTCTCTGCCCTATTCTCGAAAATACGTGACCAATGATGGCGTTTCGACACGAATAGTTCATTTCCATTTTAACTATAATTACCCCCACAGACTCACAGTTTACTAGTCTTCTAGCGCAATGAAATTGAAATAATTGATTAATTTTCTCTCATGAATGATCCAGATCAATCTGAACTCTACATTTTTTTCTGGTTTAATAATGCAAATTTAAACCACACTATTTGGTGTTTGCATAAATATTAATATTGATGAATTGCTGCCTTCCCAACCTCATGCAATTTACGATTCTGCTCCTACTAATTTTAGAATAATTCTTTGCTATTCCTGTAATTTTTTAATAACTCCTGCACCCCGTAAAAGTGGAAAAAATGCACTCCAATTAAGTGTATTAATTGAAACTAAATTGTTACGTACGTTTTAAACAATTAAGAAAATTAACCTGGCTAAAAATAGACTGGGGAAATTTTGGCATAAATTTGTAAATAATTTTTAGTCTCATTTTTTTCTACGTAGTAACTCGCTATATAGCCCTCCTGATTGTAAAACCCTTCCCAATGAGGAAAATAGTCCTACCAAACGTACCATAAACAGGTGCCGCGGAAACTGTGGGGACTTCTGGGAACATTAACATTGCAGGATAGGGGTGGGAGGGGCTTAATTAACATGGGCAGATGATGGCGACATCAAATAACTCTGGGGAATCCCCACACTTCCGCGGCCACTGGTACCAAACCAACTATATTGTTGTACCTGGCAGATATTTCGTTCGAAAAACATATACCTATGACAAAGTAAATACGTGGCAGTTATCTGGTTGGCATATGTCTGGTGTATTGGTATTTGGTGTGTCGTCGTATTCTGTATCAGACGGTAGAACATGGTAATGGCGTTACTTACAAAGCTTACACGAGGCAATTAGCAATTTAATTAAGTTGAGTGGTGTAGGAGCCCCGAAATTGGAGTATATAAAGCCACAACCATTAAGGCACCCCTTTCTTCAGTTGATATAAAGTGCAGAGATCGTATCATCACCATTAATTATTTGCTCAGCCCTGTTAAAATCAGTTTTACTCTTCCTAATCAATAAGCTTATCCATATGGGTAATCACATTACCCGAATAAACAGAAGATCTGCACCCATTGAACCTCGCCGAGACATTGAGGAAGGAGGTGCCCGTCATAATAATGAGGATTCAGCGTCGTCCAGCAGAGGTTCCACTCCGGAAGAGGTGGGGGCGTTTTTGAGACAAACAGATACAAGTCAGGCAAGTAAAACTCTGTAATTTGTGAAGTTGAGTTATGTTATGGTGAGGCATTTTGAGACACGGTACTGATTCAGGTGAAGGGCTACTTTATTTAGTAGACATGTATGTAATAAATAAGAAAGGGTGGATTTTAGAAGGATATGTCCATTTGGTGGGAGGAATTGTGGACGGATGAGCATGACGATTTTCCATTTAAATATTTTTTATGAGGGTGACGAAATGGACCTCCGGTGGGGAAATGAAAGTTAAGGGTTATATTTTGGACTTTTTAAATATCCGAATTTCTTATAAAATTTGTCGTATTTTGTACATTTTTGCTACAATCTTTTGTGCGTATTACACCAAAACGTACTTCTCTGAATGTCAGTTTTTAGCAGATTATAGCTATCATTTGTTAAATGAATATTTAATGCTTAAAAATTAAATTAAGGTATTGAGGCAATCTAAAATCCATACTTTTCATATCACGGAAATTTTCTTTTAAAGATTTTTAAAAATTCATAATGTATGGTCTACAAAATGCTTCTTCCCAACTAGAGTTAGAGTTATGCAATCATTATCTGTACACTGGCTCCATTTTTCCCCAGCAATTAAGTTATTTGACATAATGTGAAAAATGCTCCACTTTCTACCCTGAGAACTGCCTCCTTTTCTACAGGATTTTACATGGTTTAGCCGATTTAGATAAATATGTATGTACGAGTGTGACTTATTTGGTCTGGTCGTACAAGTCAAGTCAACAAATCACACCCTTAATACTCCAGTTATTATAAGGGTTCTACTTGAAAAGGTTAGGCCGGAAATTGAAGATTAACTTTTTTCCACTACTGACTAAAAACCAAGTCAAGATTTAAACCAAGGATCGAGGATTATAACATTTTTCTCCTCTTCGTTTTCCATCAAATACATGAATCACTTCATCTTTTCTCTTCTTCAAATCAAAGCAATTTTACTTGTGTAGAAAAAAATCTAAATCTTGTGTCCCCGTTAGAAAAAAAATCACACAAGTTACACAAATTCTTCATTTCATTTCATCAACTTTATCTCAGAAGCATCGTAAATTTAGAAAGAGGCGACAAATCGCTGCTAACTCTAATCCCTTTTCCTCATTCTTACTCTCATCTCATCTCCAATCCTTCCAATTGGATCTGATTAAAGGAGAAATAGCCTAAAAAATCACCAAACCACCACTCACTCTTCTTCCATTTCATCTCCTTCATCATAGCCAAACCAATAATAACAATCTCCTTTCGTCACACTGCCTCAAGTCAGGCTCCCAACCAGACATAAAACTAAACCTGAAAAAAATACAGAACATAAAAAAGGTTGGTTAGATTATTCCCTTTCTTTGAAAGAAGTAAGAAAAAAGACAGAAAGATCTGGAGGGAGCGGAGAACAAAACAAGAGATGACGATGACGCTTCAGTGCAAAGATGTCCAGATTTTAGGTCCACGCCACGCCACCAAAACCAAGTAGGTTGTTCTTACTTGGGTACGCGTTTTTTGGTAGTTGTTGTTGTAATGTTACTTAATGTGTGCATTACATGAGCCATAAGCAGAAGAAGAGTGAAGCTCTGGCTGGTAATATTTTCACCGTTTCATTTTCCAGTACATGGTACAAGTTAGACATCGAAAAGTGGCTTGGATGTGGTACTGACTGACTGACTACTAAAACTCACACCACCAAATATTATTACGTAAGTACAATACGCCAATGCATCTCCCAGTAACAAAGTAACGCGTAACCTAATACAAAATATAATATAAGCCCCACAACAGAGACGCAACACTCTCAGTCTCTCTCTCGGATCCGGTACGGGTTCAATCACTGATCTGATATTTTCATTACGCGAGAGTGAAGTAGTAAAATTAGCTTCGAAACACGCCCGTACTTTTCCACCAATTGTGTCATAAACAATTTAATTCCGTCAGGAAATAAGGGATTATTAAGTTGTTAACTTTGTTGGTCAAATTGTGGTGTGGTCCAGCTCAGTACATCTTTAAACACTTTAATTTGGAAAGTTACATTTTTTGACAAGTACAAAAATGACGGAAACTTCCAACAATTCGTACCAGCCTAATAGGGCTAATCGGAGATTTCGCCTTCCTGTAAGTAACCCATTTAATACGCATATTTTTAGCGTGATAGATTTTTAATAGGTTTTTAAATACGTTTTATCCTGTTACTCGAATCATTCACTACTTCCTTTAGTGACGGTTGGTAAATGCATACATTTTAGTAGTCGACATTTGCACCCGTCAGTCTCATCTTCCCCACTCATTAGTAGGGCAACCTTTCTCCTCACTTGATCCTAAGGGTCGTCTCGTACACTTTGAGGACGGGAGCTACTACGAAGGACTGCTCCCTGTGCTGTGATGCATCACATGAAACTCTATCCTACCCTCCAGCTTTGGGGCCCTTAGTGTGCTTGGCCAAATGTAAAAAACGGATAAATAATATCGGTTCGCCTCACATCCAGAGAGAGAGAGAGATGCATGAGAGGACCCTTCAAGGTCTCTCTCACTCACAAGTACGGCTTTAAAAAGAGTCCGTTAATCATTTCTGCTAGCCGAGAAGGAGGATATTATGTTTCTTACAGTTTCCGAAAAGAAATTCCGTAAATCTGAGATCCAGATGTGTACTTTTCTTACTCTTCCCTTTCTCAGTCTGTTAAGAAATGTACAAAGATTACGTAAAAAAGCTTGCTTTTTCATTCACAATTTGCATACAAACCCTTGTTTCATCTCTTTCCCTGCGGGATAGTCTTAAATAATTTCATTTATTCTTTCCAATTAATTAATTCTGTATGACTGGCCAATCTTTGAATTGATCAAATTCTTTCACTCTCGAGATCAGAATCAATCACAGAGAGTGAAAACGTGTCCAGAATGCGAAACAAGGCAAGAAATGAATGATAATTTAATTGTGAATGAATTGTCTCATTTACAGACGAACCCGTGGCTTCAATACGTCGGCGATTGCAAGGGGTTGGACACCTTCTTGGAGACGAAGGATGGCTGGGGTTGGATGTTCCCAAAGTTTCTCAACGCACTTTTCCGTGGTGTTGGACAGGTTTGTAAAAAATATTCATCATAAATGCCATGATTCATGTTTTTTTCTTGATAACCAACGGTCACACACGAATACCAAATTATATTTATTGATGTAAGATAAGGCAGGCATCATTAATGCGTGGCATTCCAAAAAGTAAATAACTTTGAGTTATGCATGCACAATATTTCTCACACGTAAACAAAATTCCAATCGATCCTTCATATTTACTCGATATGCATGTACTTATGCCAATAATTACTCCCAAAGGCGTCACATCACGTCATAATAATTTCGTCAAATACAAAAACATGGCAATTATTTGTAAGCCGTCTCTGTCTCGTAAAACTGAATTGAAATCCGCCGTGACTTATTTCTTTCCCTTCTTATCTTATCATGTCGTATAAATAAATCTGTTCCCAAGATGCAGCAGAGTGGTTGTTAATACATTTCTTTACTTTCTTGTTGAACAAGAAACTCAATTTATGTGATGTCGCAGTCAGTTAAATGAGTGCTCGACATTGCTTAAACAAACTGTAATACGCACCAAACAAAAAACTTAAATCTCTCCACCATCATAACCATTACCATTAAAAGTTTATATTAGTTTAGTTAACTGACAACTTTTTGGAATGAGTGTATGATAATAAATGTAAGTACATACTGGAAGAAATTGACTGTAAAAAAAGTCAGGGAGCTCTTTTTATCAAGTATTTGAGAATTCCGTGTAACTTGGTCGATGTCAATATTTGAGTCATCCATCAGTCAATATATCTACGAAATGAGGCGGCCAATGCATTCTTCTTCCAGGGAAAGAAATATTACGGACACCCAGAAAGTCAGACAAATACAAGTAATCTTTATATCCCTCTCACTTTTTTAACACTTCCTTCCTTCCTTTTTTTCTTAGTAATTATGATCCCAAGTAAGTAAAATGGGGGAAGAAAATTCTCTCTGTTCTGCATACTAAAAATGTTTGAAATTTGAGACGTCGAAGACATACATAAAGTACAGACCGTGAAATGGAGCCGAGTACTTAGCATAAGTAAAATATCGCGTAATTAGAGTCAAAATTAGAGAGGGATATTATTATTAAGAAGGCTTAAAATATGTCCAGTCTCATTTTTTTCCTAGTTAACACGAAACGTTGATGCGGTTAAGTAACGAGGTTCTCACTGTTTCGTATTTTAACAGATTTAGGAATTCACATTAGACACACATGACCAAATGGTTTGTCTCATTGTCAGTTTGCATTTCAATTTTTTGGTCGACTTGCTCCAAATAAACGAAACGAACCCAGGCAGGGCAGATAAGATAAGAAAAGAAAGAAAAGAAGGGGATGGAAAAAGAGGGGAGAATATTGAAGGAGGAAGAAAGTAAGAGTTTTTTTCTTCATCCTACATGATACAAAAGTCAAGTTATTAGATGGATGGACCATACCAGACCGAGTTAAATATTCATAAAACTAACCATCCCATCATGTTTTGCACCCAGGGATGGATGTATATTGCATAATGAATGATGAGGGCTGTTAAGAAACTCTAAATATTTAACGGGCAACGGCAGTTCGGCGTGTTTTTTTTATGCTGTGTGGATGGCAGAGGAAAAAAATCAGATCAGATAAAATCTTGACTCTTGTTATTCTCTTGTTGCCGGTCTGTTGTAAAAAAATGTGGGGTTTTAATCCGTTTAATATTTATCATTTGAGGAACATGTGGCTTCCATTCGCATAATTTTACATTTAGCTCGGAAATAAATTAGGAGAGTGAGGACAAGAAGTCAAGAAAAGCGAGACCCTGACCGTGGTGACCATGAAATTGTTTAATTTAAGTGGAAACAAATGTTTCGTTTTATGCACAAAATGACGAAAAAAAATATCGACCGGGTACATGAAGTGAATGCATAGGGGATTAGAGTGAAATGTGTTGAGACAGACGTGCTGTCGTTACAAAATAATTATTATGATTGTTACAGCAAAGTCTGTTGCATACATTATTATCGTGTGTCGTTTTTGTTATTGTTATGCCTGGAAGCAGTAAGCACACCTGAAAATCTACGACCAAAGCTGCTGAATTGCTGTTAATGATCCCTTCAGAAATCTATTCCAAACCAGAATAGTTTGAAATGGTCATTCATTTCATGTACAATCACATATTTATATCGTTATATGATAGAAAATAATGTGTGTCATTATCTATCATGCGCATTGTCCTCAGATCACGAATTGGATGGTTCCACTAACCGAAAGACCAAACCGTATAATGTTATTTATTAAACAACAACGGGACCAAAAACGTAAAAGTTAAGTCGGGACCCTTTTAAACTCTGGCAGCAGAAATCTACGACTTGAAATGGCATGAAATGTACATATATGTATCTAATTGTATTAACGTAAAGTGACAGGAAATGCGGAGAGAGAGCATAAAAATTAGCTCGCTTGATATCATTCCTTTTAAAACCTGGGGAGAAATGAAGGACCGGAAGGACATGTGGTGCCGTTGGTTGATTTTGATCCATACCTGTAATTACTCATGTGTACACGTACATACATTCTCGCCAAGCACCCTCGCCACTGTGTCCTCTGAATGACGATTTCATTGATAATAATACGTTGCGTGTCTTTTTTTGGCGCAGGTGGTCAGTTTAATATGATGTCATTGTATGTATTTTAAGGTGGTTTTCTGTAACAACCCGTTCACCGGTTTGGTCATTCTGCTCGCCCTCTTTTGGGCTGATCTCTTCGTGGGGTTGGCTACCACTTTGGCCGCGTCCACCGCCATTATCACTGCTATCGTAAGAAAGTCAAGAAATCTGGATTTAATACATTTCTACACAAGTATGTTCATGCTTTATGCTTATTTTTGACAGATCTTCCGCCAAGACTACGCCCACATTAATGCCGGTCTTACCACGTACAACGCCGTGCTTATCGGCTCTGTCACGTCTGCTCTCTGGTTTCCCTTGTACAAAATTGAGATTAACTTTTTGATTTGGGCCTTTATTGTGTTGGGAGCTGCTCTCTCGTAAGAAAAAAACTGTGATAAAAAACACACCCATTTATTTACGTACTGAATGCAAAATTATGATATAATTTGTCTCCTTAAATTTTACAGTGTCTTTGTGAATACGGCCATGTCGAACTTTCTCTCCTCGTTCAAGCAGCCCCTTCCTTCTCTGACCTTCCCATTCAACATCGTCGCCCTCCTGCTCTTCACCTGCCTCATGCCCACGCCCTTCCCCATAGTGCCAAACACCTCCCTCAACGACACGCGCACTCCTGGCGTGGCCATGGAACTCGTCGCCCGTCCAGTGGATCCTCCCATGAACAACTCTCTCGTCCGAACCACCCGTGGCGCAGAGGCGGCCGACCCGACCATCGTTATTCCGACGGATGCGGACATTGCTAAAATCTATGTGCCAAACGACAAGGATTTGCATTGGGGGAGTGTAAGTGAAAATATTTTGAGGAAATTTTATATTTTTTTAGAACACTTTTTCTAATATAAATTTGAATTTCAGACCCTCTTGGGAATGTTGCTCTCCATGGGGCAAGTTTACGGTGTTAACAACCTCATTGCTAGTATGCTCATGTGGATGGCTACCTTGCTATATTCCCCCACGCTTTGCATGATGAGTGCCAGTGGAGCAATTTTAGGCACTATTTTTGGTAAGATATTTTACTTTCCGCAAAAATACAATGGTATTTTATGGTATAACGCAAAAAATAATAATCTATAAATGGAATTTTGGTGTGCAGGACTTGTTTTCACTGAAGCTGGGTCCTACGGTGCCGTGTACGATGGACTTTGGGGTTTCAACGGAATTTTATCCGCTGCCGCAATTGGAGGCTTTTTCTTTGCATTTACCCTCCACTCGTTTGCGTCTGCATTGGCCAACGTAATTTTCACCGTTCTGATTCAACACGCATTGGCAATTGCTTTCGGACCGGTAAGTAAAATTCGGATTCGTATATCATTTATGTGAATATTTCATAATTATGCAAAAAAATTAACACAAAAATCCATTCCGTAGCTCCGACTCCCCTTCTTTACCCTCCCATTTGTCTTGAGTACCTTCATTTTCTTGCAAATGAGCGCAACTGGAGACAACTTGGTTCGAGTGCTGAATATCACCTCACCGGAAATGCATCGTCGCGAATATCTGCACAACATCCGAATCAACTCGCCTGATCAAGGAAACCGACGCGATACCACGGATGAGGTGAGAGATCAGTAAAAAAAACTTTCATAATCTTCAGAAACTTAACTGTTCTTTTTCAAAATTAATTCAGATTGCTGAAGAGAAAGAACTCGTCCTGAAGGAGGTGAAAGTCATCATGGAAGAAGCTCCCAAGGACAACGGGGAAGAAAAGAAGACTGAAGAAAAGTCTGCAACTGAATAAACTTGAAATTCATGGATTTGCTGTTACCAGCTAAAAAGTAATAACTTTTGTATGCACTCATATACCGATGAGATTTATTACGTATTAAGATTATGCGTGTCATAGTATTTAATTAATGTTAATATTTATTTAATCATGTCGTGTGTACTACAAAATATTTAAACTATGTACAACTTATTCAGTTTGTTATTAAGTAATCATCTCTTTCAACTGTTCGCTTGATTGTTTACTTAAATGGAAATGTTGAGTCATAATAAAAATATTTAACTTGTTGTCTCTTAATTTTGTAAGGTTTAATAATTGTAAAACAAATATTCTATGATATTGTTAAACTAATTAAAACTCAGTAATTTTCATTAATTAATTAGCTTAAGTTCTTATAATCTATGAAATGATATGTATTTTCCTTGGTCTCATTTTTTGCCCAACAAACAACTCAATAATTGTCTCGTCAAACTCAACTTACTCAATCTTATAAGTATACAAATATTTAATTTTAATCAAACAAAAAGGTTTATTTTGTACAAAGGAAATCTATATAAAAAACATTTAATAATCTAATCTTAGCTTTTGCAAAAAAAATTTACAAATCAAAAAATAACCAAATACAGAATTTTCATCATGTACAACAAGACATGAATTATTTGTTATGCTTACTTTTCTAATGATGATTATAATTGTGTGTGTTGAAAACGAAATATAATAAATAAATAAATAAATGCTGGGGTACAGCTATTCTATTCGTTAAACTATTGATGATTTATTGGTGAAAGTACGTAATACTCAAAAGTCCTGGATTTGCATCTGTTAAATCGTTAAAATAATTGCATAATTTATTTACACGTACACATTTATAAAATAATTGCTGTAAGAAACTTACCTTTGGCTCATTTTCTCCTATTTCTTGATCGAGTTTCTCTCTCAGGCGTACTTTCTCTCGATATTTCTTCAATTTTCACTTGTGGCTTTCTCTTAAAAATATAGTTTGGAAGGAAATACGTCGCAACTGCTAGTAGTACTCCAAAAAATGCTAATATTATTTCAGACATTTTTCACAAAATTTAAATTTCTACAACCGTAAGAATTGCTAACTTTGGATTAAATTAGGTATAGTTAAAGTCCATAGAATGACAACAAGATTTGTATGTCTGGGAAGCTATGCTGCACCAAAAATCAGTCTGAAACATAGTTATTCTGGGTGTGTGTGTGTAATGTAATACGAGGGGAAGAGATCGAGAGGGGTTGAGAGCGAGTGAATGAATTAGATCATATCAATCAATTGAATGCATAATTATTATGCCACTGGTCCAGCTAGTGTAATCTGCAACTAATCCCAAGTATCATGGTCCAGTCACTACATACATACTGAGCAATGATCATTATGACATAATGATTATGTACTTTCACAATACACTGGTATATTGCTGGAATGGACGTGACTACAACTTGCTATCGAAAGACTTGTGTATTTATTACTAATTTTTGTATTCCTAAATTATGGTACATAAATTTAACCATATAAATTCGTCCAGCCCACTAAATTAATTCCAGGTTTGAATAATATCTGTCCATAAAAACAATGACAATGACCATGAAACAGAAATAAAAATTCATCTGCACGGCACGCGATTGCTGGTGTGTGCATCAGATGCACACAAACTGACCACCAACAAAGGACTTGTGTACATAATTGCATAATATTTCTTTGTAGATGCATACTTATATTCCATGCAATATTATTCATAGAACTAATGTATCGTGTACACAATTACCTTAATTGCGTCTAGTAATTGAGAACGGCGAACATTTAATCTAAATTTTATCGTTCAATTAGGTTTTTTCTGAATAAATAGCAAACGGCATTTAATTCTGCTAAATTCGTGATGCAATTTGTACTCAATGTTGTTGCAGACTTTATTATTAAGGAAAATATTGTATATGTCTGCATACATTTTATTATGCATATCCTGGCCTCAGTATAAATGAATCTCACCCTTTATGGTTGTCCTATTCATGGTCAATGATATTATTATTGGGTTTAAATACATGTATTTTTCCATAACCGCATTAAACTGGTGTCTGAATATTAAAAAGAAAATAATAGGGATTGATAAATACACGCATACATGCAACCATTCGCAAATTTAAGTATCATTTTACTTATTTTTGCTACTGGCAGACCCAATTCGCAACAAGTTGACAAAAATACATAGTAACTCACTCACTCCTTGAAATCGGACACGTTTGACGATAAAAACGTCGCGAAAAGTTTGTGTCGTCGCAGTTTTAGTGTAATTTAATCACCTATTCGTAAAAGAGCACGGGTCCGAACGCGTATGCAAGCATGGACGAATTTAATCCACATTCTTTTAATTCTCGTTCTTCTTAACGAGTTCAAATTGACGCTGTGTGTGGTGCTCTTGGCCTAAATAATTGACATCAAGGCTGCCAATAAGACGGCAAAGTCTTTCGGATTTTTTTTAATAGTCAGTCTTTAAAAAAATGCTATTTGTGTTTCATAATAACAAAGCAACAATGGTGAATAAATCCCGTCTCCACAAACCAACCCGGTTGATTTTGATCCTGCTGAATATAAATTTTCTAATATTTTCATTCGTCTTGATCATCTTTGGTTTGAGTGAGACGGAGAAAGTTAGTGGATTACTGACCGGCGTGGTTGACACTGGTACTGCAACTTCCAGTCTGCTTTTACTGGTGCCCTCTCCACCCACAATAATCCTGTTTTTGGGAATCGTCACCATCGTCTTGACTGGATATGGGCTACACGGTGTGGATGATTACTGTCATCTCGTCTCTTATTCCGTGGTGATAAGTGTGTTTAGTCTGGTGGACCTGGGACTTGGAATATCTGCCGGTTTTATGGAGCAATCTGCCGGGAGGATGGTGGGCGATGGGATGATGGTCACCTTAAAGAGGGCAGCGCTTAATGGGTAACGAATTAATTGATTTGATGGCAATTAAACGTTGGTTAATTAACTTAGTTAATCTTCTTTTTTATGTAAATATTTAGCTCAATTTCCGCTACCAGAACTAGTTCACTGGACTTGGCCACCCTAAATTGGGCTCGGATTCAACGTGACATGAAATGCTGTGGGGTTTACGGGCACACGGACTGGGACACTGGTGCTGTAGTGGTGTCACCCCCCTCGGTGGGTGTCATTCCGGGTTCCTGTTTTGTCCAAGGAGGCGAAGATTCATCGTCCACCTCGATCGTCGTGGAGGAAGATTTTAGCAACGACAGGGATAAAAAATGGATTTATCCGGAAGAACATGTTAATATTTTTCAGGAGGGGTGCTTATCCAAAGTTGTGGAACGGTTAGGTTACGCAAGAGTTGAGAGGATTGGAATAATCCTTGGGATAGGAAAGTTAGTTGCAGGATTGTCTGCAGGGTTAGTGGCATACATCGTGCGAGACGAGTGGAATAAGGTGAGATTTGTGTAGTTTAAGTTGTTGTAGGGAGTCATAATTATTTATAATTGATTATATGTAAATAAGAAGAAAAGTGTGAATTATTCCCGGTTGGGTTGTGGCAAGTTGGCGTTTTAAAACATATCCAAAAGAAAAATAGAATTTAACATTATCTAAGCAGGAGTAATACTATTTTTATCGATAACAGTTACGTTCTTGAGATAATCAGATTTTGTAATAATAAACATTTTGTCCTTAATATCTAAATATCTGGAAATGAATGCCACTCTCTGATTTCGATGTCATTTGGATATTTTGCAGTGCCAGAGGAGTGAACACTGATCCCCAAGTAATTTGACCACATTTTCGCCAGCCACAAAAGTGCCGAAAACACAAAGAAAGCCCTGCTTTCACTCGTTCAACCCCTCACCAAAAATCAAATTTTGTGCATTGATCAATTGGACTATGGACAATGGTGTAAGAATTTTGGATAAGATGTAGGATATGTTAACACATCCAACATCAAACTCAACTATTTGGGGGTATAATGGTGCAAAAACTATCAAAACCCGAGTAAATTGAACTTTTGGTGAGGGTCTGAACGAGTGAAAGCAGGGCTTTCTTCGTGCCTTTGACCCTTTTGAGTGGGTGCGGCGGGCGCAAATGTGGTCATGGCATCAAACCACTTGGGGGCCATTGTTCGCTTAACGGATACTACAACATATCCAAAGGACATTGACATCTGAGAGGGGCAAGTAGTGAAGCTTTCCTCCTGAGCCTTAAAGGGCGCTCTTACAAATATTACGGGAAGACTTTCACTTTGTTCAAAAGTAATACGTACATATTTCCTTACCTTGCCGGTGTTACATATATCTTTCATATTTTTAGCACGTAATGAACAATATGGATAATTGTCATAGCTGGACGCCAAAATAACTATAAATAACCTTCTTTTAATTGGAACGTAGTTAAGCAGATCGGTGGACACGTTCAGAGTAGATAATTTATTTAATAAACGAGACCCATCGCATGAATTAACTGTTTTCCGTGTGATAATTTTCCCTTGGAACGTTAACAAAAAACGTTGATTAAAATCGGAGATGTTAAAACCGTTCGCTTTCTAATTTTGAGTTCCATTCTGCTTTCACCCGCTTGACCCTCGTCTATCCAGTTCAATTTTCTATTGAAAATCAGTTATCTCAAGTTCTTGCATACTTTTGTTATATTGTTGCAAGTATTTGCATTTTACAAATTTGTATTAAAAAATTGTGCAATTATCAATTGCATATCAGAAATTTTTTCCGTCATTAAATGCAATTCGAAAAATGTATGTTACGTTCAAAATTATATATCAATTGAGTTTGGCTAATACATAATCTTGACGCTTTAATGATGAGCTTAGAGAAATATATTATTATGTGCAGTACATAAATACACTATGTAGCATAACTATAATTTTCATGTGTACAACATATTAACAACATCGTGTACTGTGGATGAAGTTCTAACCCTGCAGACTTATTACACCGCTTTGTAGCATTAATTTCACGACGTCACCGGTCAAAAAAATTTTTTCCTCCAAACTGGTCCAAAATAAAAGTCTAGCATGGGAATAGTATAGAAAAATTATTTTTAGCGTTCTATGACCCCTGGGTCATGAATTAAGGGCCCCTGAAGGGTCAAATAGCGTTCCCTGATAACCCCATGCAAATGGGGTATCAAATTAATCCCCTGGACCAGGGGAACCAGAAAAATATTTTTATAAATTTTTATGACCCTTGAGTCGTGAACTAGGAGCCCTTGAAGGGTTAAATATCATTCCCTCACAACTAAAGGCAAGTGGGGTATCAAATTAATCCCCTGGACAAGGGGAACCCAAAAAATATTTTTCTGGATTTTTTTGACCCTCAGGTCAAGAGTTAAGGGCCCCCGAAGGGTCAAAATAGTAACCATGGTAACCCCATGCAAGTGGGGTATCAAATTAATCCCCTGGCAAAGGGCAAGCATAAAAATATTTTCCTGAATTTTTTTGACCTATAGGTCAAGAGTTAAGGGTCCCTGAAGGGTCAACATAGTAACCATGGTAACTAAGGTGAATGGGGTATCAAATTAATCCCCTGGACCAGGGGAATCAGGAAAATATTTTTATGCTTGCCCTTTGCCAGGGGATTAATTTGATACCCCACTTGCATGGGGTTACCATGGTTACTATTTTGACCCTTCGGGGGCCCTTAACTCTTGACCTGAGGGTCAAAAAAATCCAGAAAAATATTTTTTGGGTTCCCCTTGTCCAGGGGATTAATTTGATACCCCACTTGCCTTTAGTTGTGAGGGAATGATATTTAACCCTTCAAGGGCTCCTAGTTCACGACTCAAGGGTCATAAAAATTTATAAAAATATTTTTCTGGTTCCCCTGGTCCAGGGGATTAATTTGATACCCCATTTGCATGGGGTTATCAGGGAACGCTATTTGACCCTTCAGGGGCCCTTAATTCATGACCCAGGGGTCATAGAACGCTAAAAATAATTTTTCTATACTATTCCCATGCTAGACTTTTATTTTGGACCAGTTTGGAGGAAAAAATTTTTTTGACCGGTGACGTCGTGAAATTAATGCTACAAAGCGGTGTAATAAGTCTGCAGGGTTAGAACTTCATCCACAGTATCATGTAACTGCAAATTTTCTACTTGCGATATCCACTTGAAAGATTACACTGTTCCATAAAACATTATGTAATGTGTAATCATGACCTAGTTGCATTTATGTTCATGACACATAGATCAGTATTTGTGGATTACATGTCTTATCACTATTTACTATTAGTAATATTTGTCTCAACATTTATACCTTTACTGAATAGATTAGCCCTACGTCCTTCCTAAGATTATACATGCATGTAGGATAATACAAAGTTTGTATTACAAACTAATCATGAAAAATACCAAATGTTTGTACTGAAACTTACATAATAATGTGTCATTATTTACCTCATGTATGTAACACAGTAGCCTACAAAATTTCTTGTCCCATCCAAACATAATAATTTATCTTTCCTGATCCTCGGTAATTTTGTGAGTCATTCAAGCATGAAATGAGAAAAGTGCAAATAAGACTTATTTTATCCATGCATCATCAGATCAATGATCATCTTTCCTTCATCTTTAACGTAATTCTCCTCTTGGATAACCAAGAAAGACAAGGACATAAATATCTTCCTAAACTAAACCACCAAAAGTTATATACTGGAATTGCTGGATGACGTGGAGACGGCATTTTATTTTATCGCGTCTCTTCTTGTCAACATATTTCTATTTGAGCAGCATTACGGAGAATTTAACCTCACATTTTACATACTTTGAAGGCGTATTTATATGAAGTGAAGTGAGCCATGTCTTATCTCACGTTGAAATCTCTGTTAAACTTTAGCCAGATCTAGAACTTAAATATGTATCATAAACTCCCCATCTTCTTCACCATTAAATACAAATCTTAATCCCATCATCTTGTTGCTTGTGTGTGCATGCATGCAGCCCGACGACGTCGAGTCGTACTTACTTATTTTTTTAATACTGCTCGTTATTTTAGTAGTTTAGTGGTCTGTCTGTGGTTTGGTTTGGTTTGCTGCTTTGTGTTTAGTAGTTGTAGCTAAATAAACAGCTGCTAGTTCATTAAATAAGTAGGAAACGTTGCTAAATGTGCAATTGTTGGAATAAAATACTGCTTTGTTGCTGCACTTCAGCCTTGATTGCACACGTAGTAATTGAATTGAGTTCTACTTTAAATAAGGAGACTGATGAGATTATATTTACTGGCTGTATCGATTCTTGAGTATACTTATCAATTAGTGGGTGCATAAAGGATAAGGAAATAGGGTACGGTTTTGTGGGGTCGAGATGTGCTGGTACTGCTGCATCTCGTTAAGGGGAGCGGTTTATTTTGGGACGAGTGTGCATATAGTAAGTGACGAGTATTAATTACTGTTTTTGTGCTTATCATGTTTTGTAGTCGATATTGGTGTGATGTATATGAATTTGAATGCTTTAGTTTGTGGGGCTGGTGCTGCTGGTACGATGGATTGTGGTGTCATATATTGCAGCGTTTGTAACTGGAAAGATATTCGAAGAGGTAAGAAAAATTTATAAAAATTTGAATTGTGTTGGTTCAGATTTGATTGAATTTCATTTTTTGCAGACAAGTTTGCTGATTTTGACGGTATTATCTGGCGTCTATCTGATTGTGTTTATTACGTTGGGGTGCTTCATATTTGCAGGGACTGAAAAAGTATGATTCTGCATGAATAATTTGAAATACCTCAAATTTCTGGTTAATTTATATTTCTTTCACCCACAGCAAAGTGTTTCAATTCTGAAATGGTCCTCAACTGGGTTTACAGTTCTCCAAGTCCTTCTCTTCACTTTGGTCCTCGTTCTCTACATAATCGCTCCGGAGGGTTGGTCATTTCTCCCATTCTTGGAACCAGACACCCCCACAATGCAGATTCTGGCTATTGTAATGTATTTTTGCTGTCTTATCGCCACCCTCAACTACGTTCTCGTCCTTATTCTGTACACTCGCAAGTTGTGGAGTGTAAAACGTGCTGGCACTTCTTCTTCTGGATGTCGTGGAGGCGTTGGGAGGTCATCATCTCTCACCAATATGCAAATCTCTCACCCAATTCCACACCATCAAACGGCACTTGTTCCTGTAACGGCGACTAATTCTACACTCAATACGACGACTGGATCTAGTTCTTCAAACACACCAAGCTATTATCCATCACGAATTCAGCGAGGGAACAATGGGAGAAATAGTGGACCCATGTTGCACAATCACAACCATCACCATCACCACCAGGGTCCAGAGTCGCCTGGAATTTATGAAAGTTTGGATGCAGCCACAGTCAGTGCACCAGCACATTTCTACCCAGCCAATTTTTACGCAGGGTAAGATGATCGTGAACAAATTAGAAGAACAAATTATCTTTCATGCAAAAAAAATTAAAAATAAACTTTCAATTAGATACAACGGTGCTCGAGTAAATAGTACACCGCAACCAGAGGGAATCTATAATGGGAGTGCATCCATTCGAAGCAGCAGTGGTGGGAGTGGAATTTATTACCACAATCGCCCATATCCGTACCCCCATCAACGGTATCGAGACCCAGTCATTCCTTCCACGACAGCGGCATCAATTGCAAGTAACTCCACTCTGAGGGAAGAGTCTGAAACGCCTGGTCAGGATTGGATGGGTGCATATGGTCAGTATTCAAACATTATTGTACAATAAGTTTAACAATACAGTGTATTTACTAATGCATGATTATTATTTGACTATCAGGTCACCGGCTCCAAGTCTTTCAACGGGGTCAGCAAGAACGCAACTCGGCAACGATGGAACCACTTCTGCAACGGCAGCAACAAACCACGAACTACTGAACACAACGATACAATCCACTAACTATTTCGCTGATACTTTTGACAATCAGTCATGACGAGACATTTAGTGTTTATTCTCAACGGACGAAAATCATTATTATTTAAAATTAATTGATATTTTATTATTTGCGATCTTATATTCAGAGGTCTGAACAATTTCTTCTACTACTTTTTGCCATATCTCTCTAAAAATGATATTATAATTGTTAATATTACCAACCATAATTATTATTTTCCTGCATTGTTGAATCAGTTATTGTTATTATTTATTGACTAGAATTGTCTCTTCTCGCCATTTTTGTTCATTAATTTAATTTATCCAATCAGACTTATTTATAGAATTAGTCAGAGTGATATAAGTCATGATACGATACGTAATAGATTAAGAAGAAATCAATCGGAGCTGTTCATTGACTACAAAGTTACCATTGTTAAATCTAATCGATACATTAATTATACAATAATATATGCGCTTATACCCTTGTGCAGTTCAATAATCAGAAAAAAGTTGTGACAATCCACTGAATTTACAGAGCTATTTAAAATATAAATATCAACTGTTGTGAATATAATTGAGGCTGCTCAGATGAATATATTTTGTGATTAAGATGTGAACAATGTGAGTATGACTGCATTCCGTCTTCCTGTAATTTAACAAGAATTAATTACTAATCTGATTATAGTCAACGTAGGCTAATTTAGTTGTAAAATTATTCAGGAGTCCAACATTATATTTAAGATTGATCCATTTGTATGTTCCACAAAGTATGCCCTGAGTTGTTTCTTTAATACAGTTTTTGTTATTTATCTATATTTGGATACATTGTTGTTGAATGATTGGTTTCGGGCGGAGAATATTGTACAATAAAATTAATTACAATCATTACAAATAACACACGTGTCGGACAAGTTCATGGGTTTATTATACACGCATCGATGTCAGTAATTAAATGACATTATGCAATTCTTCTCTAAATTTTGCTGAATATAAATGACGAGTTATTTGGTTCCGTTTTCCGTACATCGTCCTTCATTGTATTTTAAGTAAATATATATGTCGTTGAGTTGAAGGTGATCTTGTTTCATAAGCTACTTCAGAAATTTTGAAGTTGCATCTTTTATCCACAAAAAATTGTAAGAATGATTTTATAAAACTGACGTACACAACTTTTTAATTAAATCAATTTACATTCATCTAACTTAAAACTGGGTCCAGTTTGAACTGAAATATTGCATGAAAATATTTTACGCGAAGGTGATCGAGTTAATGGAATCCATTCAATTCCACATCTTTTTTCTTGATTTATGAGCTCAGGCTTGGTTTGGCATGACTTTTAATGAAGTGTTGTATGTACATGCATACATGTCATACACCGTGTGTTTTTTCCCAGGCCATTGACGCACATGGTCACTTGTTCCTATACGCATCAATCTTAGTACTAATATTGCTCACTACATGATTATTGTTTGACCATCATCTTGTCTCACAGAAGAAAAAACTTCCTATAATACTTACATTCTTATATTTAATTCTAATACATATTTATGTCGACTGTGAGACATGAACAAGGGCGATGAATGATGCTACAAAATTGAGCCATTGTCCAACTAACTCGTGTTGTATGACATTAATGCCATGAGCTTGAGATTTGTTTGTTGTGAAACTGCCTTTAACTAGTGTTTGGACCATTATCGGATAATGCGTCAACAACAATTGGACACTTGTAATAATAAGTAAAACATACAACGAGTTCACAATACAATACGATAAAATACTCCTCCGTGCCATTTTTGGTCAAGTTTAAAAGAAGTCAAATGTTTGTAATATGTAGCTCAATCCTTCTGCTTCTTCTTGTCAGTTGTTTGTCAACCTTTGACTTCTCTGCATGATTCTCAGCAGAGCTGCAAAAGATATTCATAAGAGGTGGATGGACGTGCTTCTAATACATAAACTGCATCTCTCACATTAAGCAAGGTTTTTATAAGTTTTTGCAGCTGGTGTGTGCGAATTATCTACAATTGCGATTCGCAATATATGTCTGCTAATCCAGATCAGCCCAAACCAGTATCTACCACTTTGCGGCATGTGCATACGATCTGTTTTTTGTGATGTAGTGAATTTAAAATATAATTAAAAGATGAAGTGCAAATGTACATATTCTGATGGCGTCATTGGACCAATCTAGGTTGTTGGACGTACATATTGGGATCCACTTCCCTCCTGGAAAGTGGAATAGTGCAAAGTTTCTGCTCAGTCAGATATGATTTGTAAGGCGTGATGCATGCATGAAAACTGGATTGTTTGGTCGGCATCAGTTTAGAAAGTTTTTATCGTTGACAAGCTATTATTATTGTATTTTTCTAGTTGTGTGTGACATCAAATTTAGAAAGTTTTAAACAATCAGACAAAAATGAAGATTGTTAATTTGTGAACTGGCTATTATCTAAAATAATAAATAGTCATATACAAATTTCATACCGGTTCGGATATTATCAGAGGAAAAGATGCAAACGTCCTCCGAGAAATTGTGGACTTTTGTCCAACTGAAAAAATTAAAATTGGAAGAGTCGAAACATCAGTTGATCCGTCAATTGTCTTTCGATCAGATTCGGACCTCCATTAGGACGACGGTGACATGGAGAAGGGTTGCGTGGATGGATGCACTAATTCACACGGTGCTGGGATTCGTCATTGTGACCGCGGTGGCAATATCCGTACCGGAAGTTGTTAGTGAAACATAATTATTAAATATACCTCTTAACAATTAAAAAATTGGCCTTATTTTTAACTATTTCAGATTAACGATGTAGCAAGACTAGCAGTATTTTGGGTGATCATGTTCACTCACTTAATTCTCGGATTCTTGTCATTTGTTGGGCTGTATCGAGTGAGTAGAATTTTCTAATAAATTGTCACACAATTAAATAAATCATGCATAAAATAATTGTCCACTTTGACAGAATTCTTCCATTACACTCAAATTGATTGCGGCCGGACTGATAATTCTGCAATTGACAGTGTTGGGCATAACATCAAATTGTAAAGCGGAATGTGCCAAGGCGTCATTTCTCGCTGCCGGTGGGGGTGCCGGTGGTACTTCGTCCACTTCAATGCCGCCTCCTGTACCACAAATGAGTGAGGAAGATTGTCGCCATTTAAGTTACCTCTCGTCACACATCATCCTGCCAAATTTTATCCATTCGTTCATCTTTTGTGCCATACTGATCATATTCTTGTACAAGAAGGCGTCCGTGGTCAGAGTACGTGACGATTTTTCCATCAGAAATAGTGGTGGAAAACTCGACCCGAAACAGACATACCAATTCGCAAATATTACAGTCATTGTGGAAGAAGTTGTTTAACCAGAAAAATTAAAATGTTAAAAAACGGGTTTATGGCCATTTTTATACGATTATTATATTTAAATGTATGTATGTATGATCTCAAGTTTTAAATAAAGTCAAACGTTCCTACCGTTGTTTTTTATCTCATAATAAATACAAACACATGAAAAAATTTCCAAAAAATAGCGATGAAATGACATATTTTTAATTACCAACAACGGCACAAATTATAACTCAACATTCTTTATTCACACATTGAAAGAAGTCGGCACATTACGTATGTATTCCTCCATTTTCTTTTCTATATCCATAAGTTAATTGGTTACTTAATGCATCCTTAACTTTTAATCATCCAACCAACACGCTATCATTAAGAATATCATTCTAAATTACTAACAATGAAAGCTGAGAGAGAAAAAAAAACAGTCAAAATCAATTCATGTAACAAAACCACTAATAACCACACATGTCAAATGACGAATTTGTCATCTTCAAAATTTCTAAAACTAAAATTCCTAACAATTAATGAGTTCTTGTCAAATCAAAGTTAACTTGAATGATTTTTACATATGCAGGAGAAAGCAGCCTAAATATTTCATAGTACATTTTTTATTCGTAATTAATTAAAACCTTATATTTAGTACGTATATCGGTTCACTGAATGAGATGCTGACAACAAACTCTTCATCATCATGTTGTCACTGAGTTGTTAATTAAATGCTATTCTAAAATTATCTACGTTTTTTTTTACAAAACTACGTATTCCTCCTCTTAAACATTACAATAATTACGAATTTCTCAGTTTTATTTTTACAATTATTCGCTAAAATCTATGCATATCCACAATATTGGGAGTAGGATTGGAAGTAACATGTATCCATAAATAATGCTAACTTCTAATAAAAATTGCTGATCATGAGCGTAAAACGTCAACCTACAATTAATATTTACCTAAATAACATTACAACTTATTAAAGCATACGCTGACCTCGTTAAGGTCGGTGGTTAAATAAACAAAATGAGTATTTATTTGTAACGGATAAATATGTAAATAGCTACATTGTAATTAAATGCAAAGGATAATAATTCGATTGCTGAGAGGTTGATTAATATTATTGTATTATGCGGCGGGTGCATAATTAAACAATTAACATATTAATTAACATTATAAAATTATCCATATGATGATACACGTAGCAGATAAAGCTTACATTTGCTTGTAGCTCTTACATATTATATACAACTAATTATTATTTATTAAACCTGCTTGAGACAATAAGAACGACAATAATAATAATAATGAAAATACTGTGACAATTAAAGCTTTTTCCGCCTCTTCAATAATTAATTGATTGTTGTAACAAAGATGAATTGTATTATTTAATTTAATGATTGCAGCCCGGATTCACAACGGATTGTATGAATATTCTTAGGTTTTTGTTGGAAATGTAATTCGGCTCTAAACTATTTTCTATTTATAAATAATCTGTTGTGATTAGTCAAGCAAAGTGAAAGCAAAAGTAAGAGTCGATACATAAATTTCACTCCCAAATTGAAAATCTGTCCTTCATGTATGTAAATATTTAATTGTTAGTATTTTTATTAGCCTAATTCCGTTCTTTTTATTATGTTATGAAACATGTCTAAAATTTCCTAAGTCCTCGTGTCAAGACATTTTTAGTTGAATCTTCGTATATCATGAGTAGTATGTTTCTAAAGTGAGTGATGTAAATGTGTACTTTTATTTTTAGTATGACTATTTAAAGTAAAAGTGAAACTGATTATCAAATTGATTCATATTATTTTAAAGATTTTTTTACCTTTACTTTTGGTGTTTATGATTGATAAATGTTATTCTGCACGTACATACTTAAAATTTGCATGGTTTTTGTCGGTATGAAGAAGAAAAGAGAAAGTACATAAATAGGAAAGAAACAGATTTCTACAAATATTTTGTTCGTGAATATTAAATTTCTCGTAATTATAAATATGTATTATTGCACACTAGGTTATTACAGTTTTTAAATTTAGTACGTATATATTTGGTAAAATTTACCCCAAATATTAATATATTTTAATACGGATTGCTAAATGTTGTTTGCTTCTATGTATCTGTTTATTGGTTGACTTTGATTTCTTCTCTCTTGAAGTTTTTTTTACATGACATTTTTATTTCTGTGGACTTTTACTCTTGCTCATTTACGAACTGCTGCTTTTACACAGTGGTTAAAATTATCCATAATTTTTTTCTTAGGAAAAAGAAGAGTATATTTATTTTTTATCAATTTTAGCCTATAAAATACCTTTAATACGTTAATATCATGGTTGACGAATGACTGGATTTTTACGAATATCAAGGTTTACCATTCAGTTTTTTTTGTCGGAGCATAATATTTGCATACGTATATTCGTTTCAATTTGTGTAATGGTTTCTGTTTGATTCCTTCATTTTTCTTAGTCTTGTACCAAAAGTATTTTTTACGAATATCAATTTCACATTGTTATTTTTTTAGGAAAGCTTATCATTACTCTCTATTAATAATAATCGTATTTTATGTAAATCCTATTGCACACACATACGCCAACGACCACACACTGGATTCATGTAAATTTAAACCAAAATTAGACTTCCATCCAACTATCTTCATCTTTTTTTGGCAAAATTCGCACGGTATAAGAATTCACAGAATGTTGTTACATATTTTTGTTTTTGCTACGACTCCCTTAAATAAAATGGCACAATAATAATAGATATGCAACTTATTCATAAATTAATAGTTGTACCAGAAAAAAAACATTATGCATACACCCGTTTTTAATACAAAACCTTGTAGTTGTACTGTTTTAGTCTAATTAACCTATCCTGTTGTATATAGTAGAGTACGAAGAGGCCTGTTCATTACGTATAATGTGTTGAATTTTTTGTATATTATTGTATAAAAAGGAGCAGTAATATGTATAATAATATAAGAAAAATCAATCGGGAAACAGAGAGACGACAAATTATTATGACAAATTGTTATGATTTTTCTTCTTCTTCCCCCTCCTCCAAATTACTTTGGAGGTGGCGAATCTATCGGAGAAAGTCTTTCATCCTTCATGAGAGAATCGTTCGATCCGGGGCCGGAGCTGCCATGTTGAAGTCCTTTATTGTTGTGAGATAGCATTCCCAAACCAGCCATTCCCATCAAAGCATCCCCCCCATTTCCCATCATCATTCCCCCAAGTAAAGGTCCAGGACCCATTAATGACCCCATCTTTCCGTTCTCCATGCCCCCCACGCCACTCGGATTGGAGTGACGATTGTTCATGATGGGGATGTCCTTTGACGAGGTGGAGGATGACGAGGAAGAACCACCCCCATTGCTGGAGCCGTTGGAGTGTGATTTTTCCACTGGAAAATAATTAGTACAAAATGCAAATTAGTAATTATTAATTGATTATCGATTGATTAATAATTTAACTACTTTTATCTCTGTCATCATTATTGCGATGATTCTCATTTTTATCGCGATTTGAAGATTTGCCATGTTTCGTAGGACCGTCATGATCATGCTCTCTTTCCCTGCGAGCCTGCTCGTTAATCTCTTTCACGGCTGGAAAAAAGAAAGATGTATCATCATGAATCATTTTTAACCTGATTTTTTAAGTAATTGGTTTCTTAAACAAAAGTGTACATATTATTAAGTAAAATAATTTTTTATTTAAAGATTCTGAATCAATTGTACCTCTGAGTTCCTTTTTTAATTTCATTCTACGATTTTGAAACCAGATTTTGATTTGTCGTTCAGTTAGGCAGAGTGCGTGCGCAATTTCAATTCGTCTCCGCCGGGTAAGGTAGTGATTAAAGTGGAATTCTTTTTCCAATTCCAGAGTCTGAAAACGGGTGTAAGTTTGTCTGCCACGGCGTCGAGGGCATCCTGTGGGCATAAAAAATGCACATGTACAATTGATCAAAATTAAAACTCTCCTCTTTTTTTTTGACTTACCATTCGGTCCGGTTGTCCAACAGTCAAGATCTGTAGGGAAAATATAATATAGGGTTCATTCATTTAGTGAAGAAAATTTAGGGAATGAAATGAACTCTACGGGAGACTAAGCCACACCCGAGTTTAATTAAAGCCATTGATTTGATTCAGAGGTTGGTTTATGGGCGAGCAAAGTTTTTAGTGGAGAAGTTTGACAAGTTTGATCACTTTTAGTGCTGTAGTAGAAGTAGGGATGTGGTGATGGAGAAGAAGAAGGAGAAAGACGTAGATAAGATGACAAAAGACAATCGAATCATTATCCATCCATCCATCCATCTATCCCTGGATCCAACTTTTTCTTCTTTATCTTGCTCGGAATTTTATACATGTAGGCATCAGAATCACACAACCTCTACCAAATTATGTCTCTCAGTCAGAGAGGACTTCTTCTTCTTCTTGGTGAAATTGGTTACTCGATTTGGTCTGCAATCTCTTTTTTAACTTGGTTGTTTTCAGACAAAATTCCAAACCTCACTCACAGAAAGAAGAAGAAGGAGAGGATTTAATGAAGCCATTTAATTCCCTAAGTTTTAATTGCACGACTAGTACCCATTAAATAGTGGAAATCTTGGACCTAACAACGTGGTAAACTTCATTGGTTTTGACACTAATTTCAACTAATTTATTGTGAAGAGAGAGCTACTAAAATAAAATTTAAAAAAGTGTGCAGAGACGTGTACATACATACGTTCGTTACATTCTGTCCTGCTCCTTCCTCCTTGATAAATAAACATTCAACTTAACGAGTGGAATAAATGGCCATAAAAATAATTACTTTAATGGTTATAGTGGTCATGATGGGAGAATTATTTCGACTTTATTATATCCAGAGGAGCAGAGTTGGTAGGATTGGTTTGGTCGTCACAAAAATTGTCATGAGTGGAGTGGACCACGACCACGAGTGGACTATGTTTAGCTCTCCTCTCTCTCTCTTTTTAGCTGTTTTTGTATGTGAAATGTGTCCATAAATAAGGTCGTAAGGATTAGTGGAGAGGAGAGTTGGGGTCAGAGTTAAGAGAGGTGGTCATAACTCTGTCGTTCTCGTCCATAACTCACACCCCATTCTGACAATGAGATTCTGCCTCGTATATAAAACCTACATACGTAATGGCATCGGAGAGGATTGAATATATACATACGAAGCAGGAGCAGTATTGTGTAATCAACATATTCCAAAAACCCTATAGTCACGAAATGCAAGGAAACGGATACATGCGGGACAGAAGTAGTAGTGAGCGTGGGGCTACTGATAAGTTGTCTGATAAGACGAAACTTATGGTGGACTTACACTTTCCTCCCAAAAATTTCCATTATTGTTAGATACTCATTCCCCAAAATTGCATACTGGTCAAGAGACTGTATTATTATGCGTGATCAATAATGGCAATCATGGTACGAGATACTATTTATGTCCAGTGGAGGGTGGGTGGAGGGACAGCAATTTAATGTACCTAACAAATATTTGTGACAAAACTTATGCCCAAGTCTCAATACAGTACGATCAATGTATTGTTGATGCACACACAAAAACATAATTGTACTCGAAATGATCAAATTTCTCTCAAGTTTGAATGTGAAAAGTCATTTGGTGTGACTTAACACGCCATTTAAGCTCGTTAGAGGAGGAACCGTCCATGTTCACAGGAAAATAAGAAGCAAACAACACAAACTAGATACTTGAAAAGAAAAAAATCCTTATTTTTCTCCAATTCCAACCAACATGATTATTTATTACCCGTGTCCTCCAACTGTTTAAAATGGCTCTCTCTCCATTCTTTGCATAGGATTCGGGACAAGATTATATATATTTTAGGGGGAAGGAATTCGAAAATGACGTGACTTTCGTGGAAAGCATCGCATTTCTTTAAAACTCGAGTCGAGTCCGGTACGGGGTCCATTATTGTTGTCACTTGTGTATTATTATTAGAAACATCTGCAACCTTTCCACCATTTTACTTACATCCCACAAGCATCCATTATTGGTGTAAAAGTGTCAGAAAAAGTACGAAGGGTTTAATTTAAGAGATTCTTACACAAAGGTAATAAAGGGACCCAGCCCTTCTTTACGGGATGGCCGACCTTGACCCTGACAATTCCCAAAAGACTACATACATGAATTATTATTATTATGATCCCGTATGAATTTTGTGGTAAATTCTTGCTTGATTAAGTTGTAAAAGGATAATTTGAATGCATGCTGCGCTTTTAGTACTTCGATAACTACTTGGAAAGGAATATGTACACCAATTTTAATATAAATGCAGTCGCATGCAAACAAACTAAATTCAAGCAAACTTGTAATTCTGTCGTGATTATTATTACTGGACTGGAAATGGAAGGACAATGAAATGAAACAAATCGTGCATCGTTCGTGTGTACGTGGATAAATAAAAGGCTCTCATGAGAAAGTGTCGTCAGTCAAGAAATAGGCTCCTTATGGGAGAAATTATTACAAAGCACAAGCACTCAGGTAGACTTTACATCGATAAAGCGACTGAAAATGGGGGATGTCACGACAGCCAGAGTTTAAATATTGTACATAATGGTGAACAAGAACAAAAGAAAGTTGGTGCTGCTGCTGCTTTCTCCAAAAACTCGTGTTCCTCAAGATCAATATTTAACACAACTATTTATCCGTGAGGGTGGAGAGATAAGGGGGAGTTTTCTGAGAGAGGCACCCAAACACTGCTTTAGTCTTGCCCAAAGCCACGGAAATGTGAAACAATCGCCATGTTCGCTCCAAAATGCGATATGGAGAAGAAAGGTGAAACAATTTCCTCGACTAACAACCTTCCTCCACGCGAGGCTGTGAAGCCTAATAATGGAGGAAATGACCACGAGTGAGTACTGATAGATTGTGAAGATTGGGGCGAAATGGCAGAATAAATTATTACATTTGATTTCATTCCGTTTTGATAATCATCAAAGCTCGTATGTAGTAAATAGTGGTGGTTTTCCGTACTTTCGACAAGTGGTCGATGTGCTAGGTGTGTGTAGTAACAATAAAAGAGAGGAAGAAAAAACTGAGTTTTATCGACGACATTTTGGTCCTTGTATGAAAATTTGCAAGTACTCAGAACTGGTTATAATGTAAGAAATAAGTGGAGATAAAACGTCTTGGGTTTTTGGTTTGCCCATTTTTTTATTCTTTGGGATTCAACACATTTGTAAAGTGTGTAGAATTGTAATAAATTGCTTGAGAAGAAGCAGCAGCAGCAGGTTTACAACCCGAGATGACAGTATAGCTTCGTTTTTCAGTCTCTGTGATGGAACAAGTCGAGAAATATCTAAATACTAAATTTTTTATGGACAGTTTCATTTTTAGAGGGAAACAGCACATTCACCAACTTGCTACTTACAGATATGCGATGCTAGAGCAGTTTGAAAAGCATGGAATAAGATTCTATAGTTTGAAAGTTTGAAAAGATTTGTGAATAGGAAATCAAAACCGCAACGAGAACAGAAAAAAATAAAATAATCATATCTTTCTTTTTTTAAGAGACAATTTTCCAACCGCATATTTCCTCCCATTACACTCTTGAAGGTGAATTGTTACTATTATGAATTTCTTGGTTTTGGGTTGATGAATTATTTTTATACTTTTTATAACATGATTATCGAAAGACTAAGAAAACTTGAAGCGAAATATTAATTTTTTTTCAATCCTTGCTGTTTAACTAAAATCAAACGAAACGCCACCACCAATTTCTTAATAAGCGATTCAATTTGGAGAGAATTTGCAATTTATTGAGCCATGCTGAGTAATTTGCTAGTGCAAGTTACTTATTTAGATTGGCCTGGGTTGGTCTATTGGTTTAGATTTGAGGAGAATTTCCCACAATTGGTTCATGTTAAGGTTGAAGAATTATTATTGATTCGAATTGACTGCGAGTAATGAGAGGTTCACGAAATATGGTAGATTTGATTTGATGATCTCTCTGTGATAAAGGCGTGTGTGTGACAATGCAAAGTTTTCTGTGCAATTCATTCACCTGAATTGCAGTATTGCGGTCTGGGTTTGCTGAGTGAGTTGGTAAAATATTTTGAAAAAAATACTTGATTATTATTACCAACAAAATTCATTCATCCAATGGGAACTTGTTATTAGCTTGATGGCTGAACCTATATTTTCGTCGTGGCCAACCCAGCATGCATATTTACATGTCCCATTTTATTTTCTCACAGCACCACCAATATCACTCCCATTTTAATAAACCGTTCAAAGTTGCTTGATTGCGAATCATTGATACCAAAAATTGGAGAATTGTATTGATACTTTGATGCTTTACTGAACCATGAAATTGTAAACAAATTCTTAATAAAGGCACTACATTTACCAAAGAAATGCAGGATGTGACGTGGCCCTGAAATAGCGAAAAAAAAATTGAGCCGACGACAACTTTTGTGTAAATTGCAACATTTATAAAGTATGAAAAGATATGGTCGGGTCATAATAAAAGTATAGACGAGATAATTAATGAGAGAGACAGGATTTCAACAATTTACTTATTTTTTAGTGCAGAAAACGAGTTCATTTCGAGAAAAGTTCGCAAGCAGTTTCTTTAACATTTCTATTTTATAAAACTACTAATCATCCTCTTTCTCTCAACCTTTTAAAAAAAATTAGCTAAAACCAACGATTGCAGTAATATAATACCCGTGTAAGTTACATGTAATAGATAAAAATGTGAGAAATTACTGCACAAAGGAAACAACAATACGGGCCGTGATGCTAATACTAATTGGGCCATAATTATTACCTCAAGTACGACTAATTAGTACATGCACACGGAGGTAGTGTGGGAGGCTTTTGAGGCAAAAACCCCGTGGTGAAAAAATATTTTCCGAAATTAAGACTAGAACTTACACATGTAACTGGTGTCCATCCATGCTTAAAATGCTCAGACTGGATAATAATAGCATGCCCACACACAATAATTACGTTTTAGGTGGATATTTGGGTGAATATTTCCAAGAAATGGACGTAATTA